TTTTTTTTTTTTTTTTTTTTTTTTTTGTCCAGACATAATTAATGTAAACCAAATGCTTTTGTGCACAGCTGCTGGCATCCTGCAGCCCTTTGCGTGTGTGGTCTCTCCTTTAGCCCGGACGGAGACGGAGCGAAGCCCTGAGCGCTATCCCAGACCTGCCTTGCGCAGGGAGCAGCATCTATTGCACAAGAGGCACCTTGAGTTCCTGCCTTCCCCTCGCGGGATGAGGTTATGGGGCGGCTGATTGAACCGGTTTAAAGCCAGCCGCGCAACTGCCCAAAAATCCTCGTTGCCAAACCCAAACTAAACTTTTCTCGCTCGCTAGAGGAAATCTGCTCAACTGAAAGCCCAAATGTCTGTCTGGTTTTCAGGGCTGCCTCCGCGTTTCCTGGTTCCACGGGGGCTGGAAGCGGATGTCCCGAAGTGTCTGTGGGGAAGGATTTCCTCGTGCTGCCTCTGGCACCTCTGGATCCCACATCCAGACCTTGTGATTTGTTTCTTTCCAGCCAAAGGGCCAATTTGATTGTGTTGCTCTCACCTCGTGTTGCCTCTGGATCTTTAGGACCAGGGATTCAAATCTCAAGGATACAAATAACTGTTGAAACTCCTGGATCCAAAGAGCTCCCAGCAATGCCTTGACCAGCACCAAGGTTGACCAACTTGGCCAACCTCGGCAGCCTCTTGCTTTGCTGGCATCGCTGCCCCCAGGTTTATTGGGAAAGGTGGGAAGCGATAGGGGATGGAGGGCTGTTAGCAAAACCCTTCCCTTTGAGGGACCTTTGCCCCATGGAAGCCGTGGGGCCGAGCATCCCAGCCTCGCGCTTGCCCAAGGCCACGCGCTGACTCAGTGGCTGAGCATTTTGCAAGCGTTTTAGCTAAATGGGAAGCATCTGAGTGCCCGGCCGTGGAAGTGCTTGGGATTCCAGGGTGATTAGGAAGCAGCAGATGCCTCAGCGAGAAGGTAGGGTGCTATTTATATGGGGGGAGACCTCACTGGGTCCTGGAGCAGTTGAGCAGAGCCCAAGCAACTGCTCTTCCCCCAGTGTCTCCCTCTGTTGTTTTGGGAGCAGGAATGTCAGGAGGGTCTGACACCTCTGGAAAGCCTCCTTGGCATCCAAAAGCTTGAGGGTCATCCCTGGGAGAAAGCTCAAGGGAGACGTGGGAGCTGGGACTTCCAACCAGCCCTTGATGGGCATCAGGAGAGGGCGAAGGGGGTAATTTCTCCCTTTGCAGCTCTCGGGTGGATGATGTTGACCAGAGAGGTGGGAGAGCAGAGAAACGGACCCTTTCCTGGTGTCCCCCCTTGCCCATCGGGAACTCGATGCCTGCCCAGCACCAGAAGAGCAGCCGCCTCCGTCGACTGTCCCCAAGCTCCCAAGTGATGACAATTTTAAAGGGGTGAGAGCTTGAAAAACAGCGAGTGAGATTTTTAAAGGGCCACCTTGGCCACAGAGGCAAAAATTCCTCCCCGTGCGAGCTGCGATGCGTTAGGAACTGCCTTAAAACGAATCCAAACCATGCGCCCGGCTCCAAACGCCTTGGCCAAGCGGCTGGACGCGTTATCTCGAAACACGGGCCGGCATCCCAGAGGGGTTCTGCTGGCTTTCCTGGTCACTCCTTCTTCCTCCTCTGCCCCCCTGCCTTGCATAATCCTTTCTATTTCAATGCTGGTGTCCGCATTCGGGGCTGGATTCCTGCACAGGCTCCCCAAAGCAGGCAGGCTCGCGCCGCGGCGCGCCGCTTTGCCCCGGGGAGAGGCTGCCCTCCTTGCAGGGACCGCACGGGGAGGGCTGCGAGTCCCACATGCCACCAAGGCCGGGTGGCTCGAGGCCTCGGACGTGTCTGGACGCGGAAAGGCACGTCTGGCTGCAGCGCTCGGAGCCGGGGAGCGCTCGCGGCGCGTTGTGCCATTCGAGAGCATTTGGCAACGCGGCGCTGCCGGGACGCCCGGGTCCGCGTCTTCGAGCGAATGCAGCTTCCTATTGTTAAGCATTTGCTATTTATCAGATTTTTTTTTTTCCTTTTTTGCTTTTAAGCTGTCTGTAAAAGTCTGGGAGAACTTGTGTCAAAATCCCTTCCAGATGTGAAGGTGCTATCCGATACTTTGGTTATAACCTGGGCCCTCGCTCCTGCTCTGGTCAGATTAGTGGAACTACTGTGAAAATGCAAATGCAAATAGAGACATACACACATATATATATAAAACTAGAGAAAGAGATACGTGTAAAACTTCCCCCCAGCCTTCCCATTTACAGGCAAAGCCAGATCCTGCCTTCATAATGAGATCATGAGCTTTATCATTAAGCATTTGCTTTCCTGGAAAAAGGCAGGTAACGGAGGGAAAGCAGCCATCTGCCTGTGTCTCTGTGTGTGATTTTAAAGCCTTGTTGACTTTTTTTTCCCCCTGTTTAAATAATGCTTCTTTGGGTCTGGGGCTTCCAGACGCATTAGCTCTTTTTACGAGCATCAGATGCTGCGCGCAACTGCAAATCCGAGCGGTTCCCCTGCCCTCCAAGCACATGGATCAGATAAAGATGATGAGTTAAATGCTTCTTGAAAGGCTGTTGCAAATTTGGAGCTTTTTTTTCCCCCTTTTTGCTGCTTTTTTGTAGCAGCACATGCTCTGCAGCCCTGCTGCCTTGCCGGGCTCTGCGAGGAGCTCTGGGGCCGCGAGATACCCGCGGATTAAACCACCCTCTCGCGCTCTGGTGTCTGTCAGATCATATACGGGCCGAGCCAGCTCCCATCGTAGCGAGGGAGGGTTTTTCCACTGGCTTTAAGAGGCGCTGGACCGGGGCCATCCTCGTCGTAACGCGGAGCCGGGAGCGTGCGTGATGCTCTGCATGATGACCAAATTTCTGGGAGATAGGCCTAACCCAAAGCCTTGGACCCGGAGGCTGCTTTGCCGGAGGAGCGGGGAGACTTAAGCCGCTGGGCCGGGATTGGGAGCAGGTTTTTGCAGCTGCCCGAGTGTCTCGGCGAGCGCCAAGGAAGAGCTGCTGCTCCGAGGCCAGGGCTCCGGAGCTCCAGTTTGGCAGGTTGGGTCTTGTCCATAATCCGGATCCGCTTCCAGCTTTTGTCTGGCAAAGGGGCCTCAGGGTCCTTTGTGTGGAATGGGTGTCATGGGCTCGTCCTCGTATCCATCACCCCATGGATCCATGGGGTGGGGGGACCAAATCCTGTTCCAGAGGGTTTCCCAATGCCTTGGTGTCCTCGGCATGATCCTGCACCCAGGAACTGGCCCTGGAGTCCTGAATCCCTGTGGCCATCGCTCCCGAAACCCCTCGGTGGCTGCAGGAGGCTGCGGGACAGCGCTGGGATGGGGCGAGAGGAAGGAGCTGGACAAGGACAGCCCAAAACGACATTCCGTGGGATTTCCTCAAGCAAATCCCTGCTGCACAACCCTTCCCAGGGGGAATCTGGCCCTTGCTTGTGCTGATGGGCACCCAGCTGGGAGCCGGGCCAGGGAGGAACCAGCAGGGATGGGTCTTCTTCATCCAGGGCTTATGGATTAGGGCCTGGGAAGGCCCAAAAAGGACAAGAAGGAACAATTTGCTCCTGCTCTGGGCAGGAGCAGCGGCACCAGGGGCTTTTTGTGACTGTTCCTACCCATCCAGGTGGCCTTGGCTTGGTCCCGCTCCGAGGAACAGACACCTCCAGCACCCCATTCCTGCTCCCGCTCCCTTCTGCTGCTCGCTACACATGCTTTTGCCATTAATTAAAGTGAAAATTAGATTCCATCATTCCAGGATGTCACCAAAGCGAAGCCTGGAAGCGCTGGCGTACGCTGCTTTCCAGAACGGGGCCATCGCATCCACGCCAGCTCCACCAGCGGCTCGGGCACCTCCTGAGCATCCGAGCAGGGCTGCGACCCGGGGCCAGAGCCCTCCCCGGCTGCCCCTTCCTGCCTCCACCCAAATCATTGCTGTGGAATTTGCTGGGACGCTGCTCTACCGCAGGGCACGGAGCCTTTCTGCAAGTCCTGGGGGCAGCATCGCCTTGGGCCCGTCTCTGCTCCATAAAAGTGCCAAATGCTGCCAAAGCAATGGCACTTTGGAGAGTGGCATCACGCTGCTGGGATTAAAGGGCATAAAAGACCCTTCACCTCTCCAGCAGACGCCTTTGCAAGCAAAAACTGAATCCCTCCCATCTCCATTCCTATTTTTCCCCCCTTTTTCCTTTTTTTTTTTTTCTTTTTTTTTTCCTCCCGGCTGATCTTAAAAAAGCCCCGGGTGGTTTGGGCTTTGCGCAGCCCAAATGCCTTTTGCAGCGTCAAGCACGGATCCCCTAAGTAATATCCCAGCGCTGGAGAATAAGACAGTATATGAAGTAGACGGGGAGCTATAAAGGCGCTTTAAAAGGGGCAATAAAAGTTTTGGGTTTCATATCGCCTTACCAAAGAAGAGAATAACAGAGAAGCAGGAAATTTCAGTAGCAGACACGACAAAGGTCACAGCACTCAGACTGCACCTTAGACGCAAACACCTCCGCTTATGAAAACAGCAAGAATTTCTGGCAAGGGCTCAAGAGCTCTTACAGGCAAAGCTCTCGGCAGCTCTAAAAGGCTGCAAGAGACTGTTTTGTCTACGTTGCTGTTGAATGTTTAGAATATCCCCCCGCATCGCTGGTGCGGGGATAGCCCGCGCGGGACCCCGGCGCGCGGCTCTGCCCTCCGGCGTCTCCCTCTGCTTGGTCCTGCTCGGGGATGCCCCCATATCCCTGACCGGCCCCTGGGTTTTGGGGTTTGCAATGGCCAGAGCAGAGCCCCTTTTGCAACTGCAAAGAGGGGAAAAAATGAATATTGGCTGCTATTTTGCTGTATTCAATAGCGTGTTTTCTCTTTCCTACAACACCCAAATGCAGGGCAGGTGTGAGCAGAAGCTCTCCTGGACTCAGCTGGGTCTCAGCTGCCCTGCTCTACTTATTTGCAGGTGTTTGCTGTCCTTCTTCCCTTAAAAGTACTGAAGGAGCTTGAGATGTGTCTGGTGAGCTGCATTTGCATCTATGGTGCAGTGATGGAAGAATTCTCCTATATGCTTTATAGGCCTCATGGTGAGTGCTGGTCCCTGCTGCACAGCACCCTCTTCCACATCCACTTGTGGGTTTATTAAAACCTTCTGCTCAGGATTTTCCCCTCTCCTTGGGCTGGTTAAAGGCTGCTCCTGCCCTGGGGAGGTGCAGCGATGCTCCTTGCACCAGTCCCTGCCTTGGGGATGCCCCAGTGTCCTCACATGGCAAAGCACATCAGTAGTGGCATGTGGCTATGGATTCAGAGCGCGTTGCAGAGCACTTGGGTGGTTGGATGCTCCCAGAGACTCAATGCCCTGTGTTATTTTAGCCATCAACCCTTGGGTCATCCTGCCCTTTGCCAGCCTAGCACCCATATGCACCCACACCGGCTGTGCCACCTCTTCAGGGGCTCCTGGATGCTCTGGCCTTCATAATTCCCTTCTATTTTTGTTGGAGGCTCCTTGGCTTTTGGTTGCTGCCCCATAGCAGGAAGCTGCTCTGATGAATGACCAGCGCAGATTTCTATTCCAGAGGAGCCTGGGCTTAATGTGGGCTTTCTGTGGACATCACTGTATATCAATACTGCTCTAATTGTCCATGACATATAGTCTTGGCTTTTTTCCCAGACAGCCTAAATAAATCATACACTTCTGCTATAGTAAATAGTCTGTTACAGGAGATGTTATTGGCTTGGAGCCCTCCCTCCTCTCTCCAGGAGCTTCGTTGCAGTGCCTCTAATTTTCCATGTACTTTCCATGCTAACTAGGCTCTCTGAGAAGGCACCTGCTGCCCGCGCCCTGCAAGCAGGTTTGCAAGGACAAAGTGCCCAATGTTGCCTCTGGAGCAGGTTTGGCTGGAGCAAAGGGCTGTTCCGAGAGGGAGGCGAGTGCCTGGAGCTCCCCTTTGGTGCTGGCACCTGACCTTGGACTAGAAACTTGAAGAATGCTTTAATACTGCTTGCTTGCAGAGACTTGGTTAATATGCATTATTTACACCAGGAGCTTACATAAATAAAATAGTAAATACCCTCAAAAATACAGATTCTGTTAACCCAGCATCACAACCGCAGCCCTGCGCGCTCCGGCTTGCAAGGGGCAATGCTGGCCCTTGCAGGCCAGTGAAAATGGGGCTGCCCACGAGGCCGTGGACCCGGAGAGCACACGGGGAGACGCGAAGGTCTCCTGTGTGTGTGTCCCCAGCCGGGGAGAGCATCATCTTCCAGGCGTGAAGCCTCCAAGGGAAGCGCTGGGGTCCTCCAAGCAAACTCGGAGCGCGGCCGCGGCTCCGGAGGCACGAGCTCTGCCCGTGTTGAGGAAGGCGCCGGGGCGCATGTGGGTGCCCAGCACCTCAGACGCAGCAGCAGAGCGTGGAGCAGTCGAGGCGCGCGGGGCTGCCGGCGCCCACGGCCTTCTTGTTCTCCTTGGGCAGCAGCAGCGCGAAGGACATGGCCAGGGCGCAGTGGTAGAAGCTGTGCACGTAGGTGTAATCCCACTCCTGCAATGGGGACACTGCGTCAGGGAGACCTGCCAGGCCACCGGGTGCCCTTAGGCTTTGTTTTATTTATTTTGTGGCCCCCATCCAGGATCTGATGCCCCCATAGGGCTGTTCCTTGGTGGCACTGGCTTAGCTCCACCGTTGCATCTCTAAAACTAGTCTATGGGCTGGGAAAGAAAGCCCCTAGGCTTCTGCCTCGGCTTGCCAAGGGAGAAGAAAGGCTTCCCAGCCTTAAAAAAGGCTGCAAAGTGGAGAAGCAAAGTGGATTTTGGAGAAGCAAAGTGGATTTTGGAGAAGTAAAGTGGATTTAGGAGAAGCAAAGTGGATTTAGCACGTTGCAATTTGCACGTTCCCCGGTTCCCGAATGAAGTGTTTCATTACCTCGCGAAGGACGGAGGGGAGGACGGGGAGGGAGCCTCCGCTAAGTGACGGTTTTATGTTCTGCTAGAATGTGCAATTACCGCCTGCTTTGAAAAACAATCCTCGGGGAGCGCTGCGAAGTTGCATCTAGCAGCTCCCAACGCCCAGAGCGGCAGCGCGGCAGGGGCCGAGCGCGCGCCCGCCTCGCGGGAGGCTTGTCTCCTTGGAGGGTTGTCTCCTTGCTGCTCCCGCCCGGTGAGAGGCAGGACGTCGCCGGCGTTGCGGGAGGATTGGGAGCGAAAGGTTAAAAGCCGGATCTGGCGCCCCGGGGAGCGAAGCGAGCGGCTCGGCGCGCGCGTTGAGTCAGCCTTGGCTCGTGCGAGGTCGCATCCCGCCCCTGCCGTGGATTTGCGAAGTGTCCTCGGATCACCCCGGGCCCCACTTCCAAAAAAGGCCACTCGCTCTTGGCTAAATAATCCCCGGGGCTGCGTCCGTCTGGAGGAAACGTGGCCGCTGCGAGCATCCTGCTGTAAACCGCTCCCGGGCGCTGCCTAAACTGAGGTTATTCTGCCCAAAACGAGGACGGGCGCGAGCAGGGGGAGCTCCGCGGGACGCTGACCCTGCGGGCGAGAGCTCAAGCTGGGTTTGGGCCAAGGCTGGATGCAAAGCCGTGGTGCAGGGGGGAGAGCTCCTATCTGGGTAATGTCCTTGTAAAGCCAGGGAGATTTGTCATGCAGAGACGTACCTCGAAGAAGAACCTCAGCATCAGTGCTAGTGCTCCAAAACAGAAGCCAGGACCGATCTGTTGCGTGTAGACGCTCTTGTCTGGGTACAGACCCTTCTTCTCTTTCATCTTCTGGAGCTGGAAGGCAAGGGAGGACACGTCCGTCTCGCTCGCCCGGGTTTAACTTGCTGCTCAGCAGCTCAGAGATCCCACAAATGCTAAAATAAAACTAAGCAAAGTCCCCAAACTGGCTTCTTGAGGCAAAAATATTAATCTGTACCTCCCCCCGGGTGCTGCTCTGGATCCCCTGGTGCATTGACGCCTCATTTTTATCATAAAACTGTTTTCCTAATATTCAGCCCCAAACCAAGCTAAGTTTCTCCCTCATAAGCCCCATCTCTGCCTCAGAACGTGGCCAGAGGAAGGGACATCACAGCCAGCTCCAGGGGCTGGAGGACACGGGATGTTCTCCATGCCCATCCCTCTGGGAATGGAAGCAATACACCTGTCACCCTCCCCATCTTATCCCTGTGCTTTTCCCTGCATGCTTGCCCTGTAGAGCCGTGATGATGAGGAGGATTCCAGGGCACCGTTGCCTTCGCTGTGGCCCAAAGCGGCTGCTCTAATTCAGCCCCTAAGGAGGGTCGCAAGGAAGGCAGCGCTGCAGCGCGGAGCTGGGATGCGCATCCCTGAATTTCCACGATGCCTGGCAGCGTCTTCCTGCAATTTTTTGTTCCGTCGCTGGATCCTTCGCCTTGCCCTTTTACGGATATGCCTGCTCCTACTCGCGGCTCCGATGCGCTCCCGTCCGTATAATGCGGATCAAGGACAAGATGCGGAGCAGGAGCAGCCTTGCATAGGGCACATGCTGCGAAGAAGCTGGAATTGTCATCCCTGGAGCTGAATTCAGGTGGATTTGGGGCAGATTGCTCCCCGCTTTATCTTATATGTGCCTGTCTTACGCCCATTGGCTTCAGAGCAGTTTACCAGACCATTCTGCTCCTTGGTGGTTGTAAAACCCCTGCAAATGCATCGCTCGTGGGGTGGAAATGCAGGAAGGAGAGATGCACTGGGTTGTTCGGATTGGCAGAATCTGGTATTTATCACAAAAGCCGTTTGCTCTCTGCCTGCCCAATGCTTTGCTTGCGAGAGGAGGACACTGCTCTCCTGGGCCTCTCTCCTGCAGGTCAGATGCCCTCTGAAAAGGCTGATCCCTGAGGTGACCGTGCCATGGGGTGACCATGGTGTGGTCAACGCAACATGACTTCAAGCCCCAGTGAAGTGCCCGTAGGGTTTCCTACTCACCCATTTCACGGTTATGGTGAGGACGGCTGTGCCGATGGGTCCCGAGTAGACGCCGTAGCCCCAGCGGTCGTGGTAGATCCTCACGGCGATGGTGAGCACCCCGAACATGACCAAGGTCGATCTCTTGGGCTCGTCGAACTCCGCCAGGGCTGTGCGGCACAAACCACAGGGAGCATCAGGCCACCTCGCCTGCCCTTCCTCTGTCATGGGGCGAATGACTTGGGGGCTCTAGCACGTATCTAGAGCTTTGCTCAGGACTATGTGGGTCTACCACAACGACACCAAGTGTTTGATCCAAGTCTGGTCTACCACAAGGACACCAAGTGTTTGATCCAAGTCTGAGCTTTGCCTTCCTTATGTCTCACAACTGGGGAAACTGAGGCACATGTGAGGCAAAAGAAATCACCCCAAGGAACATGAGAGGGCAGCAATGAGTCTAGAGGCTGATATGGAATGTTCTAAGCGCAGTGTGTGGAAGGAAAAAGATGGCAACAGCCCTTGCAGAGGTTTGAGGGCTCTGAGGACCCCAGGGGACACTGAACGGCTCTGAGTTTGCCACAGGGTCCTGAGACTCACTGGAGGTGAGAGGTGCTGAGCATCCTTTGCTGGAGCAAACTCTGGCTTTGCAGGTGACTGTGGTACCTCTGAGCGCAGAGCCCAGTGCCAAGGACATGCAGATAGGCTACACGTGCAACTGCCATGGCTTTCAGCAGGAGATGAGCGGCCAGCTTGGCTTTGCGAGGCCAAAGAGCCCTGTAAGTCCTTCTGGGTGGTGGCAGCTAGGCCAGCAGCCCAACCTCCCTCTGCCTTTCCTTCCCTGTGGAGGAAGGAAGCTCCAGGTGGACTGAGAACATTAGACCAACCAACATTAGACCATCTCCAAAGGTCCCTTCCAAGCTCAACCATGCTGTAATTGTCCCTCTGCTTGGTTCCTACCTCTCCAACCCCTCCTAACCATGTTGTCTCACCCCAATGCAGCCACCAGCTCCCAGCTCCGGGAGGGCTGATCCATCCCAGCCCTAGGATCAGGACCGGGACGGGGCTGCCGGAGCGCGCAGACACCTGCCTGGAGCCTGGAAGCTCCGACTCGCCAGAGCGAGTGAATTATTGGAGGCTTTTGTTTAGCGCAGAATGGGGTAATAACTGATAAAAGTTATGGATCCCAGTGGGCTCCCTGCTTCTCCAGCTCGCACAGCTGTGTTATGGCTGTCCCGGATTTGCATTCCGGGCCGTGTGCCCGAGGGTCTGCGTCCGCACGTGTGCGCGAGCGAGCGGCTTCCCCGCGCTGCAGCACCGCGCCTTCCACCCCCTTGGATTGCGTTTTTACAGGCAGTTTGGCTAAGGGATAATGTCCGCGTTTTAATCCCTGTTTTTCCCCCTGCGGGTCAATATTTTAAATATCTTAGTCCGGGATTTTTTTTTTGTGTATGTGTTTTTTTTTTTTTTTATAATGCAGTAATGAAGCAATCAAATCAAATTGAGCTGCAAGGAGCCAAAGTGTCTGGATGAGCTCTGACCTACCCTGACGTTGCTATTGTCTACTGAAAAATGTCCTTGGGAGACCATCTGTCTGGTCGGGAGGTTCTTCTCTCGGCTGCGTTTTGGGCTGTGCACGGGCCCAGTGACCCCCAAAGCATCTGGAGGGCTGGGGACCTTCCTGGCTGGAAGGAGGCTGGAACTGGGATTGTTGCTAGGGATGGGCTCAATTCAAGGAGCAAAAAACATCAGTGACTGAAAGGTGACTGATCCCTTCTCCCTCTCCCCTTACTCTTTCCCTATAGGATATTCTCATTTGTCCTTCTCCCTTGGGGGAAAAAAAAAAAAAAAAAAGTTGACAGAATTGGAAAATTAAAAAGAAATTTTGAGGCTTTCACCCCTCTCTAGTTCTTTCATTTTTCTTATTTCAACTATTCCTCGTTCCAGTGGCTAAAGAGAAACAAAAGAAGGAAAAGGGAGAAGGAAGAGAAAGCAGGGAAAATAATCCAGCTTTTTAATAAGAAGCAAGTGATATATCTTTCTCCTATTTCAGATCCAGCCTAATATTTCCGCTCAACCCAGACTTGGCTTTTGATAAACCAGGGAGATATATTTGTGTTTTGACTAAGCCCCTTCGGTGGCTACCAGGGGAAGGGGCAGATCCTCCGGTCCGCAGCGCCTCCGAGCCGACCGGCTCCGTGCAGGGAGAGCATGGAAAAAAAGGAGATCCTCGGGCACGGGAGGCTGCAAACTGCATGATCTCGGACTCTTGCCCGGTTTGCAACTAAAGTTACCATTGTGTGTGTTTATTTTCCAGTTTTAAAGTAAAAAATGCTGCTTGCTAAAGGATACGCCTGAGAAATGATGACGGCAGAAGAGCACCCAGCTAATACAAACACTGGACACCAAAACTGTGCCCATCTCCGAGAACAAAACTCTTTTTTAAGACCCTGGGCTTACCCATGAGCGACACCCAGATGGACAAGGCGGTCCCGTAGATGCTGAAATACTCCAGGATGTCGTAGCGCATGAAGCACAGCACCGACAAGCCGGGGCCGTCGCAGGCGTGGTAGATCTGTTCCGGGGGAAAAACAACCACCAAAGCACCAAAAAGCGCATTACAAACCCGGAGCTGGCATGTTGTCCTCATCCCCAATCCACGTGCCATTGCAGGGCAGCCGGGAGCAGAGCCCTGGAGTCTCCCGTGCATCCGTGGAGCAGTTTGAGAGAGGCCGTCGCTGTCCCCACTTGCAAAGTGTCTCTGGTGACCGCGGCAGCTGCTGCACCGCGAGCCCCTCCGGCAGCTGCCAGGTCTCCGTGTTGGACAATTCTGCTTTTCAGCCCCTCGGTGCAAGCTCCAGCGCCTCCCGTGGAAGTTAGGGGCCAAATTTGCAGCTGGCACCCATGGGAGATGGAGCAGGCGCCAAAACAACGTGGTGCAACGTGGAGCCGTCGCTGCCTGCCCTGCTGGGGAGGCCACCTTGTCCATTCCTGTTAACCGGCCCTATAGCATTTATAGAAGTAGCTGATTTTTCCTTTTTCCCTTGTGCTTCAGGTGGAATTTTAACCCATGCATCCCTAGGAGGAGTGAGCTGGGCACCGCAGAGCCCTGCACTTCCCACTGGGCTCCACTATGGAAGAGGTTTCGCTCTGGGAACGCCATGGATCTCCTCCTGGCCTCGACTTATCCAAGGACCATAAGGATCCGCCTGGAAAGCCCGGAGCAGGGAAGAGCTGAAGGCAATATCAGGCTGCCAGGCTATTTCATGGCATGAACAGACGCCTTTTCCCAGCGGGAATGCGGCCATGCCGTGGCAGATCCCGAGGCCAAGGCACCGCGGCAGCGAGAACAGGAGTTCTTTGGGACACACAAACCAACAACCTTCTCCCCTGGCTTTCCTCATGGCGAGGGAAGGCAGAGGGGTCTGGAGCCAGGGCTCAGCATATTTCCAGCCCCTCAACCACGAGCTTTTTGGCTACAAATGCTGAAGAAACAGCAAGTTTCTCTCGAGACCATTTAACCCCCAAATCCCTCCCAGCCGCTTCCCAGCTGTAAAACAACCCCCCCAAAAGTCACAAACAAATCACCCTCTCCCACCCTTCCCAAAGCTGCAGACCATAAAACGCCAAGGGAGCTACACGAGGACCCCCGCCTTGGTCCCCCCGGGTTGTCCCCAGCCCGACGGGGCCCTTACCGCGATGAAGAACATGGTGAAGAAGTAAACCATGGCTTCCATGTGGAAGCGCCGCTTGGCCGCGATGCTGATGGTGGGGAGGAAGGCCAGGCTGCTGAGCGTGGGGAGCAGGAGCTTGGCCACGAGCGAGCCCATGGGTGCCGGGTGGGCGCGCGGCGCCGCTGAGCGCTCCCAAAGCAGCCCGAGCAAATGGACTTTAAAGTTTAAATGTCCTGGCCGGTGGCAGCTGCTGTGAGTGCAGCTGGGGCCGCCTTTTCCTGGGCTCTCCCCCTTTCCCGGTGAATTCCTGGCGCAGCCGGCGGCCCTGCAGTGACAGATGCTCCTGCCAGCACTGTGGGAGTGGGGGGCACTGCTCGTAGCCCCCATCTCTCTGCCTGGGTGTAGCATTTGCAAACAGAAGTGCACGTCGTGAGCACGGCTCCAAATCTGCCTGTTCTCCCTTGTCTGCTGGTGCTGGCTGCTTCTCTGAGCCAATCTGGGCAGTTTTGCCCTTTTTTTGCACAAATCCAAGTATCCCTCCACCTTGCCCAGGGTGCCCTGGCACCCCTGGCAGCATCTGCACCCACGCACTTATATAGTTTGCAAAGAGAGGGTGTTGCACGGAGGCATGAACTTAAAAATCCAGCTAAATCCTTGTCCAATGCACCCCCCACCGCCCCCTCCTGCCTTGCCCAAACGCTCTCGCTGGAAAGGAAACGCGCTTGGCGGCTGGATGCAGCAAGTGCCAGCCGTGGAAAGCGCCCTCGGAGCAAGAAAAAGCCCTGGAGTTCTCAGAAGCAAGAAAACATTCCTCAGGTTGCTGCTTTTTTCCCTGCTTTTCTCCCGCTCGCAGCTGCACTCCCTGCGCCTGGGGCTTGGTTTGCAGCCAGCGCTGTAGGCACCGAGGGGGGAAAAAAAGAAAAACCCCAGCAGTTTTTGCACACGTGTTCCAGCTATTCCTGCGAACGAGACCCCAAAGAAGCCGGCTGGGCTGGGGAAGGCAGGTGGCTGGGCAAGAGCAGTAGCTGCTGCTTAAAAGGGCTTTGTTTGAGCTGCAAATGACCCAGCCCTGGCGCTGGATGTGGCTTCTCCAACCCCTCCGGGCAGGAATCCTGCGGCAAAGGGCCCGAGTTTTGCTCCCCTGCTCTTAAGCAGGTAGGAACCCAAGGATGAGCAGGGATCGTCTCCTGCAGCACTTCTGGAAAGCGGGTTTCACGTGGATATTCCCAGGGAATGGGAGTGCGGATGGAGGCACCGGCATGTGCAGGAATACGGCTGCAAAGTTGTTCCCAGGGGCCAAAACCATCCAGGATTGCTCCAGCGCAACATGAACCTTTGCTCTAATCTCATCCACAGGTTTAACACAGACATTGCAGTAAAGAAGGAGATCCAGATAGGGCTTTTTTTAATGCTAAATGCTCAAAAATGGTATAGAAAGAAAGGGAAGATCAGACACCGATGCCAGTTTAGTATCAGAAAATCCATCTACATGATGCTCTCCGTAGGGTGCATATAAGACGCCTTGCAAAAGCCTCGCGACAGGGCGGATATTCCTGGCCTGTGCATGGATCACTGCAAACTCCTGGCCGCGTTTCCGCCATTTGTGCCCCTGCGGATGCCCCCGCTCCGCAGCGCGGCCGCCCGGCTCCGCTTCCTGCCGTCCCGCGCGGATGGAAAAGCTCTGAGGAGAGGGAGGCTGGAAAGAGGCCAGCGGAGCGGGAGGTGCGAGGGCTGCCCCGGGACGAGGGTGCCCCCCACGCCTGTCTGGTGGCCCCAAGCCGGGCTCCACAAGCCACCGTGACCCTAGCGCTGAGTCGCCGTGGTGCCCAAGGCCAAAATAATCCAACGGGGGCTCCCGGTGGGAGCTTTTCCTACGGTCACATCTCCCGGAGCCCTGTGTCTACGTGAGCATCTCCACTCCTCTTCTGTTCCAAAAACCTCATTTTCTCGCCCGCTTCCCCAAGGAGAAGCCCTGGAGGCTGTGATGTCTAAAAGCTCAGAAGTCCCGAATGGAGAGAAACCGACCTCATGATTTTGGGGGAGTCTGACTCATGGTTTTTGAATGTCTGTGGTTGGCAGCGCTGCATAGCTCATGTCCCTCGGCACAATAAGACACAACTGCCATGCAAAACTCATTTCATTGAAAGAAAAAGCTTTGTACTTCGCCCCCCCTTAAATCTTTGCAAAACTAAATTTTCAAACCAAGTTTGGAAGCTCCTCTAGGTTCCCAAGGAAAAATGCCTTGTTTGGGACTGGTAAAATTGAACTAAAAAAGATCTCTGTAGAAAAAAGTAAGTGTCTTTTAAAGCCTCTGTAGCTGGGATTGTACCTGAGGTCACTGTGGTTGCTTGCAGCTTCCAAACTGCCCAGAGATATTTTTAATAAGAATCTGATGGTGGGAGCAGTTTGGTGGCTTTGGCTCGTTCCATGTGACTCCGAATATTGCAAACATTCACGGATGAAACCTTTGCTCTAACATGATATATAAATCAGCGTGCTGCAGCCGGGAGGGGAGCACGCGGGGAGGAAGCGCCTTGCCCAGCGCGGAGCCCCGGCGAGGAGCTGCGAGCTGCTCCTTGGTCTCCTCCTCATTCGCCTCTTGCTGCTCCGCTTGCAAGAGCTGAGGCTCTGGAGAAGAAAGCAGGGCTCAGTGCCAGAGCCTTTTGGGGCGTTTGCCACGTTTTGGTCCCAAATATTACAGCCGTTTGGGTGTTGTGTGTGAGGATTCACCCACCATAGAGCAGGTTTAATGACTCCTGCAAGGCCTGTGTGCAACTGCAGGGGGTTTTTAAGCTTGCTGATGGAGACGGTCTTAAAAAAGAAGGATATCTGTTGTCTGCAGGTCAAGGTGCTGGTGACGAAAGGGGGACCTGGGCAACCAGGGTCCAGACCCGACTGCTCCCATCTGCAGCATGGCCTGGGCAGACCACAGCAAACCTTCCCCATGAGGATGCATTTTGCAAAGCTATCCCCTTGGGGATGCGTATTGCAAAGCCAGCCCCCCAGGGATGCATATTGCAAAGTCATCTCTCCTGGGGATGCATATTGCAAAGCCAGGCCCTCGGGAATGCATATTGCAAAGCCATCCGTGCAGCCGGGCCGGGGAAGGGCTCACTGCGCCTGGAAGGTGGTGCTGGAAAGGGGCCCTGCATGGCCGGGACGTGACTCCGCCGTGCCAAGAACAGGTCCTGGTATGTTGTTCAGACGCCTCTGGCACCAGGCTCGCCCCAGGCCTGCTCTGTGCGCTCGCAGTCCCTGGTTGAACTCAGTGCGAGCCCCAGCAGCGGGTGCTGGAGGTGGCAGCACCGTGCGGGACTGTGGGGGGCTCTCCCAGCATGCGGGGAGTTCCCCCCTCTGGATAGAGCTGCCTGGGTCGGCGCGGTGCCTCCTGCTCACAGTGCGCCCTTGCTCTCCAATTCCCAGGAATGAGCCCTGTTCCCAATCACCAGGGCCCCAGCGGCACCGCAGACATCCTGAGGCAAAGCCCGGGAGAGGCTGCATCCCGTGGGACGCCGGGTGCCTCCTCCGCAGCCCCCAGCTCCCACCGCGCGGAGACGCCGCTCCGGCCAAGGCTTTGCCGAACGACTTTCCGCAGAGGAAACTCCTTTCCTCTGCAGCCGCTTGGCCGGCCAAACAAGCCGGCAGTCGTCTCGGGCTCCTGGCGGGCTGCAGAGGCGCAGAGCTCGCTGCGGCATCCGCTCCGCTCCCTTTGCTCCCGGCGCATCCCGGCGGGAGCAGGGACACGCAGCACGGGCATCGCATCGCGGGCTGCCCGCTCTGTCCCGAGCCCTATGCATGCCGGGGACAACATATCCCGCCGCCCGTACAGGTGCATCTCGTCTCTGCTTGCGCCGGCCTCGAAAGCAGTAAATAACATCTGCAAATAATTTGTGCCGCGCGTGCCAGAAAGGGGGACGGCAGCGGGGCTGGCGGCGGCCGGAGCACCCGGGTGGCTCGGCGCTGGTGGCACCGCTCCGGACGCCTTCCCGAGGAGCCGGGTGGCGCTTCGGGAGCACCGGGCGCCCGTGGCCCCGTGGTGCCCCCTGTGATTTATGTGACGGGCCGGTGGCCGCTAGGAGCCGGGCAGGAATTTTCCGATTAAATGGGGATTGCGTCAGAAAGCGCTGAGTCATCGCAACTCCCCGTTTCGGATTAAAAAAAAGGAAAAATACATAGCAGCTCGGAACTGCTGGGCTTCTTCCCTTCACAGATTTCTTTCCCAAGAAAGATCCATGCGGATTCAGGGTCTCCGGGCAGTCACAGCATGGTGCAACCTGCAGCCGAACCTTGCACAGCCCCAGGGCTGGTGTTTTCCATGAGAAATATTTTCGTCCTTTCAAGGCGTATTTTGCTCTGGCGCTTCCCTCCTATCTGTTCCAAACTGGAAAGCAGTTCCAGTTTCCTCCTGCATGGCTAGGGCTGGAATATTTGGAGCTGCACAAGCTCGGCGAGCTCCAATGCTAAATTTTCCCGGTGTCCCACTCACAGCCAGCCGATGGAAAATTAGAAGTTGCAAATCAGCCCTTGCTGGAGGGATTAAAACGAGCTGGCAGACAGTTAGCCAAACAGAAAAGGAGACTTAATTTCCCATGTAAATCCTTTGGCTTCCCCACTCTCCATCTCCATGAGGACCGGTCCAAGTTAGGGACAAAGTCGGCTGTGGCCGAGTCACCTTGAGCATCTCGGGTGCCTGGCCTGGGATTGTGGATCAGAACTCCGTGTGCACCTGATATCTGGGTTTGTGGTGGGTTACCTCAAGCTGCAAGCACTTCCCCACCACACATGCAGGGGCGATAGGCTAAGGAATGCATAGGAACCTTGCAGAATGCATAGGAACTTTGCAGACATACCACGTAGGTGAGTTATATAATCAGCCGTGCTTAACATGCAGTGTGCGCCGAGGGACATATGTTGTGCACAGCTTGCAAATGCTGTACAAATGTGACTCCCTGCAACCCCATGTTTTCTCTCTGACATACGCACACATCAGCTACGGTCTGTGCATGACTCACAGAGCCAGGTGCAGGGTTTTCCTCAAAAATGTCTCTTTGTGCGCCTGAAACCTGCTGCTGACTGCAGCATTTTGGGGCAGGAGGGACAGCAAAGATGTCACTTCCAGCTGAACAGATGGCCCAGAACCTGAGCAATTGCCATGGAAAACCTGTGCTTGGCCGCGCTTGCATTTCTGCTGGAGCAAAAAAACTAGTGCTGGGGAGAGGTGCTATAGTCGTCCCAGAAAAGTGCTTGCTCTGTTTGCAGGAGATGCAAAGCGAGCTCAGGGCAGCTCAAGGGATATACATGGGGCAGGATGAGCTTGCAACGGCTATGAATATCGTGAGTTCTGCTGTTTTATTTCCTCTCTTTCCTTGATGGCCTTGCAGCGAGTTTAAGAGCCAGCTTCCCCACCGAGTTCTTTTTTAGTTTTTTTTTTTTTTTTTTTTTTTTTTTTTTTTTTTTTACCCTTTGCTGCTGACTGGAGTTCAGACGTGTGGCCGCCCCCTCCCCTGCCCCGCACCGGCCTCGCCGCAGGAAACCGGCTGGGGCGGCCGCGCCGTCGGGGGAGCCGAGGGGGTTAAGCGGGGCAGCCCGCCGGGCGAAGTGTGAATTCCTCGCAGGCGCTGCGACAGCTATAAAGGCGGCGGCGAGGGCTGGCGGGAGCCACTCGGCAGCTCCTCGGCGCTGCAAGAAGCCGCCGCTCCCGGGGCCGCCCCTTTGAAGTGCCGGGAGGCAGCGAGCGAGCGGCCGCGGCTCCTCCCCGTCCGTCCGTCCGCCCGCCGCGGGCCCCGCTCGTCCCCGGTGTCGCCGCCGCTGCCACCGTCGCACCTGGCCCCGGCTTCCTCCTCCTCCTCTTCCTCCTCCTCCTCTGGCCCGGCCCCCTGCACCTTGCCGGCCGGCCCCAGCGCTCAAGGTAGGGCTGCGCTCCGCCCGGGGGGAGCAGTTTGCCATAGGGGGGTTTGAGGAGGGCGCCTCGTTTTCTTCTCCTTTTTTTTTTTGCAGAAAGGAAAAGAGTCAGGAAAAGGAGAAAAACAACAAAAAAACCCACTTCCCCCTCTCCAGAGTAAGCCGCGGGGCGCCGGGTTCAGGCGAGGTGCCCGTTGTGTAATGCGGGGCGCCCGCCCTGGCACCCCTGGTGCCCTCGGCTCCGTTACGGGCTTCGGCCCCGCAGTGTCCGGGAGCGCTAATGGGAACCGAGGGCTCGGCCACCTGTACCCGGGACCCCCGGTGCGGAACCCCCGCTCCCGGCCCCGCTCCGTGGGGCTGAGCCCCGGGAAGGGTCTCCCGCATGGTGGGCAAAGCCCTAGGATGAGTCTGGAGAGGCGGATAGGGGGGTTTTGGTGCCACAGACATTCCCAAGAGTGCCACAAAAGCCCTCGCGGGAAGAGAAGGAGCTAGACTGGAAAGTGCCTTCCCGGTCTCCCTGTGATCCCGCTCCGTGTGAACAGCCCGTGTCCCGCTTCCTCTGGAGAGCATCGAGCTGCTTTTCAAGGGAAATTAGCTTAGAGGAGAATATTTTCTTTCTCACAGACGTGGGCTCCTCTGGTTGCCTGGAAGCCTGATTTCCTGAAACCTGCTCCTTTCTGGCTCTTGCAGGGAGGCTCACAATAAAACGGACTGTGGCTTGGAGCTGGGTTTTTGCTTTTTTAATACCACTCTGAGTTTCTGTTTCATGAGGCAGATGGGGAGAGAGATGAAAGGCTGATGCTTGTGCTACTTTATTTCTTCTTTCTAACTCTTGAATGGCTCCTTTTGCTATGGGAATGGGCTTATTTCCTGGGAAATCAGTGGGAATTGGAGTAGAACAAATGAAGAAAGGAAGGATGAGGACTGCTAACTGCTCTTCCTTGTTTGTTTGCTTATGGAGCCTTTGGCTTCGTCCTCCTAGGAGCAGTTCCGTAAACGGGAATATTCAAATGTGTTTCTCTTAAATCCAGGGATGTTTCTTGTTACCAGCTGTTGTGCAACACTCGCAGTTACTTGCTCCAGTTTAAGCCTCCTGCTCCTTCCCAAGCAGGTTGGGATCCCCAGCTCCTGCTCGAGCTCCGGTGCAGCCTGGGGGAGCCCTTTGCCTGCCCTGTTGCTCCCGGGAGCACCCGAAGTGAAAATGAATTAGCCTCGTTCGGAAGAAATATTGTCCCTAGACAATATTTGTTTATATGCAAGTAGTGCAATAGTTGTTTATAACCCCCAGATTTGCTTTGGTTTAAATTAACCTGCGCCACAGTTTAGTCACAGCCGTTTTATAGGTCCCCCAGGTCTTTTTGCAAAGCTAAAGTTTAGGAGACAGTAGTCAGAGGCAGAACATGAGGCCCTATTAACACTTCTGCTAGTTCCATGCAGCTTCAGGGGCCAAGCCCTTGTTGGTGCTGGTGTCACTTGGTTGATGGTGTCAGCACCCATCTTCTTGGGCAATCTGCAAGTTTCAGGCCGTAAAGCAGACCCCTCGTCCCCAAATGCGGTGGGACTGGTGGGGATTTTGTGCAGCATGGCCTCAATCACTCTGCAGCATGAAGACACCCAAGCGGAGGTGGAGCAGCGTCTTTCTCCATGAGCAGTCCTGTCTGAGAGGCACGGTGGCCCTTGTCCTCCTCATGGGCAACCTTGCCTTCGTGATAGCGCAGGTGAGTGTGCCGTCCCCCTGGAGTAGGGGTCTGCTTGGGTGTTTTGGGGTGGGTTTGTGGGTGCTGGGTGTGGAGGGTGCTGAAGGAGAGCTCCAGGCTCTCTGGTTGCCCATGTCAGAGGCTTGCTGAGGTCCTGCTTCATCCCGTGGTTGCTTTCCTCTGTGGGAAGAAGGGTTGTTGTTTGTGGTCTGGATAGAAAGTCGCTCCAAATTCAACAGGTTGCATAGTCAGATATGCCAAGGCCAGACGGAAAATCATACCACAGGGGCTTAATGAATTGTCATGAATGATCTGGGAATGGTGGGATCTGCTGATGTACATCGTTTGCAGCAAGGGCATGCGACCTGACCTGTCTCTTGTCAGCCTGGTACCAACCTAAGTTGTCTGTAGCTGAGCACATGCTCAGATCCTTAAGGAAGGTCTAAAAGGCAACAGCCCAGTCTCGAGTCTCAGTGCTGCTTCCTCAGCTCCTGCAGTGGCTGGAGCTCAGGGTTTCTTTGCCTAAAGCTTTGCTTTCCCTGTAAGCACAGGATTAATAGAAACAGCTTAACAGGCAGGAAAAAGAATCTGTTGCCCCTCAACAAGTCATGTCTTAGGTGTGGACATGTGGTGGTAACGTGTGATGGTGACAGGGCAGGGGAGCCTCGATGCACATGGAAGAGCCTGAGCTCCTGCTTTGGCCTCCAGCAGCTCCTCTCTCCTCTGAAGTGCTGGGCTGACCTATGCAACCAGCATCTTATGCGTGTTGCTCCCCACCAGCCTATTGGAGCTGGGATTAAGGACCTCCTGAAGTGGCAGTCTCTCATGTGGCTCCTCTGCTCTGCTAGTGTCCATAGGAAAGGCAGGCTGGCCTGCTGTCTGCTTGCTGAGTGGGATGGGAGGTGGTTTCTCCTCTTGCTTCATCCTCAGCCTCCTCCCCCTTACAACAGAGTTTGTTTTGCCCTGTGTTTTGCAAGGGTTGGCTTAAGCTTTTGCTTAAGTCTTTGGCTGTAACTGACTCCTCAGCCTTCTGAATTTATTGTGGAGCAGTGTCAGCACTGGAAGAGCTGGAGAGGTTAGAGCTTGGAGTTTAGCTCCGTTGTGCCAACTGAGCTAAACAATGAACACTTCCTTTCCCAAGGCATCCTAGAAATTGCCATTTCATTCTAACTTATAATAAAAACACTATTGCAAAAATGTAGCATTTCTTGCAAGATGGAGACCTCAGATTTGACCTCAAATGCAGCGGAAAATGTCGCATTAGCTCTGTGAGGAAACATAATGCTGCAGAAAAGCCCAAGTGGGAGATCCTTGTGGGTCATGCATGTGACTACTACTTGGATGCTCTAGTAATGGGTGCTTTGGAAGAGCCCTAAGTAGGGGTGAGAGAACCTCTGGTGAGGTTGTGTGAAGGCCATTACTCCACTTCCACTTGGAGCAATGCTCCCCCTGGTAGGGGATGCCCGTACTCATTGGTCTGCGGGGAGTTGGCACGTTGGCTGTTGGGCTCTTGTTTGCTGAGGTGGCGATGAGCTTCCCCTCTTCCCAACACGAATGCCGGCCTTGCAAACAGGACCTCGTGCAGACCTCCAACAGCCTGGAAGAAGGCGCCGACGTGACCGCCCACTGGTGGGGCGAGTGGACCAAGTGGACCGCGTGCACAAGGACCTGCGGGGGAGGCGTCAAATCCCAGGAGAGGCACTGCCTCCGGCAGAGGTACCGCGTGCATGGCCAGAGACCCCTTCCCTGCACGGGGGTAGGAAGGAGGGGGTTAAACCCCGCTGCAGCCACCCTAGTGAAGTCATCCGTGGCCTTTAGTGCTCACGTGCTGGAGGTAGATTTGACCCAGAAAGTTATCCCTTGGTAGCTGTAGCCCTGGTGAAAAGGTGTTGTCAGGCAAACCCCGCCTTTGCAGAAGGTAAGTGGGCCTTTGAGTGCTCCGACAAGAGGAGCGTGTGCCTGGGATTCCTAGAAGGACCTGCTGAGTAGCTCCTGAGGCTTTTCCAGCAGGGAATTGGGGCAGATGGGCAGCGGAGGTGGGTAAGCCCATCCTTGGACATGGCAGTGTAGGACTGGACTTGGGGCTGCTGGTCTAGGCTGCTCCCATGCGTGGTGTGTCCCATCTCAGCTGTCCATGGGACTGTCCAGAGGTTACCTTGCAAACCTTGCCCCGGGGTCCTCCTTTCCTGTGATAACCCCAAGGAGCTGTACTGAATTATCCAAGTAAAGCCCACGAGACCTTTCCTACTGCCTGCAGTGAGAGCCTGGTGGGTGGCTTGCCCACATGGGCACGGAGACCGTGTGGAAGAAGGGAATGAGCCTTTTATTTAAAAAAGGGAAGAGGAGAGAGTTCCTGACCCCCTGTCTAACCATCGTTTCTTTATTCAGAAGAAAGTCAGTGAGTGGGCTTGCTAATAAAACTTGCACTGGAACATCCAAAAGATACCAGCTCTGCAAAGTACAAGTAAGGATATCCTTTTTCTCATTGGGAACACTCAAACAAAACCTTGCTTAGTGCAAGGTCCCTCGCAAGAAGGGCACTGTCTGTCCTGTAATGGCCACCTGGTCACCTCCTTGTCCCACCAAGCAGCTGGAGTTTTCCCTTGTTTTCTCCTTTCCACCAAAAAGTGCTTTGGGCTTTTTGCTGGAGCTGGGGGTCTGGAAAAGCCAGCAGGCTCCTTGCCCTGGGAATCGCCTTCCCTCGGCTGGATGCTCTGGCCTTCAGCCTCCTGTGGAGGAGGAGGAGGAGATGGTGGCAGCCCTGTGGCCAGTCTTGATGAGCCGGAAACCTTTCCTGCCTTTTGTTTTCCTGAGGCTATTAATGCATCCCGTTCTAGGAGTGCCCTGCGAATGGAAGGAGCTTCCGAGAGGAGCAGTGTTCATCCTTTAACTCCCATGTGTATAACGGACGAACGTATCAATGGAAACCTTTATATCCTGGTAACAAGACATTCTTTGTGTGTTTCTTGGTGCTTCACCAAAATATTTTGATAGCTACGATGCCGTAGACTGCAGGAAGCCTCCTCCTCTGATGTTTTAAAGTGCTTTTCTGAGACGCATCCGGTTGTCTTCGGAGTTGAAAGGAGCATTTTACAGCTGCAGAGTAGCTTAGAAATAAAATGGCAAAAAAAAAAAAAAGGGCTCAAGGGATGGAGGAGGATGGGAGCAGATGGTCCATGCTGACCAGGAGCGTTTGCTTTACACACCCCATGCCTCTTGAGCTGTGGCTCTTGCTGGCCTCCTGCATATTGGTGACATTTGCCTGCTCCTACACAGTTTGTGCACGCTGACAGATGTCACTGGGATGAGATGAGTCAGCTTTTACTGCACAGATGACTTGGAGTCATCTCCAAGAGACTGAGATTTGCTCATTTTTAGGCACCTAATTCCCATCAAAATAAAGCTTTAAAAGTTGTTGGGCAGCTTCAAGAATTTCTTGGGGCACTTGGGATCCCAAGACCTCTTTGCTTGTGGGGAATTATGTTCCTAAGTGCAGGTTAGACAGCAAAATGCTTCTGTTTAACCCCAGTTTCTGTATTCTAGGTGTCTTGTACATGCTTAACAGCTCTGCTTGATGAAATGACTTCCTTTGATATGATGAATCTTTGCAATTTTGGTAAAAACTTACCCCGTGGAATGGGGATGGGCTGGTTAATTACAACCATTTGGCCGGTTTTGTCCCTTTCCTGTGGCAAAGTGACAGTTTCTTTGTTCTGGTGAATAATCTCCAACAGCGACTACGTTTAGTTACAGTGAATTGTTTTGTGTTTTAGCAGGCGTTCAAGTGGCTCCTGGGTGATTTGTTTTGAAATTGGTGCTGTCTTGGGCGCGCAGGCCAGTGGGTATATAAACTGCTCCCTAATTGGCTCAGTGTCATGTCTTAGCACTGGGTTTCCGATGCAGATGGGAATTTCTCACTCGTTTCCTGTGGGGATTTGACAATACATGCTGGACGTGTGTGGTCTTGCAACTGCGGCCGCCCGATAATCCGCAGGAAGCAAAGGGCAAATGCAGTCCGACTTAGATTAATCTTAATGTAAAGTGTTCCTATTTTAAACTGCTGTCATTTTATTTAAAAAAATGTAGTATTATATGTATATCTGCTTATCACTGTATATGTCTGTTAACCTAATGTGCATATGAGTATTTAATACATGTATAAGCATGCATATGTTTGCAATATGCGTGCCACTGCTGCAAATCTTTGCACAGACCATTGGCCCTTATTGCTCTGGGGTGTCCTGCGGGCCAAGGCTTGCAGGGCAACTGAGAGCAGCCGTTGGTGGCCATGCAAAGGCTTGCAGCAATGGGCTGCCGGGCCAGCAGAAGCCAAATCTCCTGGCCAGCCTGCGGCCGCCGGGGATGGCAGCTTCTCAGATGCTGGCTGCTGTGCAATTCTGTTGTTGCTGCCGTTGTTTAGCTTGGCGGCGATTCGTTTGATGCTGCTAGAATGCAAGTTTGTTGTGTTTCTGCTGTTTTGAATATATCTCTATATCCTTTCCCCGTAGATGACTATGTTCACATTTCTAGCAAGCCCTGTGACCTCCATTGCACCACTGTGGATGGTCAGAGACAGTTAATGGTTCAGGCTCGGGATGGAACATCCTGCAAATACACTGATTTCCGAGGGGTTTGCGTGTCTGGAAAATGTGAGGTTGTTAAACATTATAGCAAAAATCTTGTTAGTAGCATTCAGAAAATTACTATGGGTGCAATATCTGCCTGCCCCTCAACGCTCTCTTCACCCTTTTTCCAGCCGATCGGATGCGATGGCGTTCTGTTTTCCACCCACACTTTGGATAAATGTGGAGTTTGCCAAGGAGATGGGAGCAGCTGCACTCATGTAACTGGGAGTTACCGGAAAGGAAATTCTCATCTTGGTAAGATTTTAAGGAATCTCTTGCTTTATTTGTATCAAAGAACTGTGTTTTTGGTAAGCTGCTCTCAGGTCTTGCCAGCTGCCATCCTTTTTTCCTCATGTTCTATCTGTATTAAAGAACTATCCTTAAATATTAAGGGTATTAATTAAGGAATTAAGGAAAGCCTTTTATAAGGAAAAGCAGTAACTTTGCATGACACTTCTCAAATGTCCAAATTTCCCGTATTGAAAGGTGCAATGGGATTATGTAAGAGTCCAGTGTTGGTTTTAGTCTTATTTTTGACCCAGCAAGCCTAGAAAGGAACGCTGTGTAATAACAGGAAGCCAGGATACTTTGAAAATCCAGAATTTCCCAAACTACTGTGGTGTAAGGCAACAGAACGTACTCGTCCTAAATATAGTCATCTTAGGAATAATGCTTTAATAAATAGATCCTTGGAGAGCATTAGTCAGAGCCAGCTTCCGTAACGTCGGTGGAGTTATGAGCGTTTCTCCTGTTAGTTTTCTTGTGTTGAACAAAGAAGTTGGAGGAGAAGCAAGTTGTTATCCCTCGCTGGGGGCGATTTTGAAGGACCATCTGGAGCTTGTGTCTGTGCCGAACCGCTGCTCAGCTTCTCTAGCTAACAAAGCAGGCTTTCCACCAACATTTCCTTACACTAATCTTTAGAATTTCTGCATGCAGAGATTGCATCTATCTTCCTTCCATATTTCCCACCATAAATTAAGATTCATAGTTTGCAAACCCTTACACTCTATTGCTGAATAACTTCCTGTTAAGTTTTCAACATCTCTTTAAAAATGTGCCTCCGTATTTTTCTAATCAAAGCCAGCTTGCTCGATACATGACAAGTGTTGACTACTGAGAGTATTTTGTTAGGTTATTTGTTACAAAGCCTTCCTGTTCATTAATGTGTAGTTTTCCATAGGCTATTCTCTGGTAACACACATTCCTGCTGGAGCAAGAGATATCCAGATAGTAGAGCGGAAAAAATCTGCAGATGTTCTGGGTGTGTATAACCTCTTGGTACTTTGCTAAAAGCATCTGTGCACTGGCTAATCCTCCCGCAGTACAAATACGAACCTAGTTTTGCTGCTGATGTGCTAAATCCATGGTCGATGTAAACTGTAACTGCTCTAAAATGAGGAGAAATGCACTGATTTACCCACTCTAACAATCTGGACTGTATTTCAATGTTGACTGCTTTATTGCAGAAACTGTTGGTCAATGTTATTTCTGTTTCAGAGTGTTGGGATGAATGCGCCAGTGTTGGATCATAAGGGGCTGAGTTCAGCTCTGTCGTGGTCTCCTTGCTCTCTTGCTGCTTGGGCAATGAGCAACGGCCAAGTGACATCAGCAGCACGGAGATGTGACTTGCGAGTCACCCTACTGATGTATGGGTGGCACCTGGCTGAACTCTGTGCCCAAGGAGATGGGCAAAGCCAGGTTTTCCCCACTCGCCAACACTTGTTTCTCAAGTGTGTGGGACTACTGGTGCAGGCAGGCCCATAGTCTTGTCTGCAGCGTGCAAAACCTTTGCCATTTAATATTTTATGCCGTGCAAGTGCTGAAGGAGTGAGAGGTACCATGGGCTCACAAGCAACAGCAGCCTCTTGTTGCCAAGAGCTTGTAATATAGAAGAAAGTGACCCAGAATTTTGATTCTACCTATGTAAGGTCTTGTGAATAATGAATTAATCTCTAGTACTATAAAGTAATAAAACCCTTGCCACTTGTTCATTCAAGGCGTGAAGTTGTTAATAGTACCTCCTCTTACCTTTGGTAGAAGTAATTGCTTTTCTTTTTCTTGTTTTAAGCTGTGGCTGATGAAGCTGGATATTATTTCTTCAACGGGAACTACAAAGTTGACAGCCCAAAGAATTTCAACATTGCAGGCACGGTGTTCAAGTACCGCAGGCCCATGGATGTCTATGAGACCGGCATAGAGTATATTGTTGCACAAGGCCCAACAAATCAAGGGCTGAATATAATGGTGCGTTTTGCTCCAAGTTGGTAAGGTTGGATGTGATGGGGCAGGGGAAAACTATGCTGAATCCTCCTGACCACTTTGTCCTCCCATCTGTCTGACTCTTGACTGTGTTAGTTACTGGTGGACAAGTCTTGTGTGCAGCAATAAGTTGATATTAGGGGAATCGTACAGGAAGATTTGCTTGCCCAATCCAGATGTGTGGGAAGCATCTCTAAGCTGGTAGATATGGGTTCTTGGTTCACTTCAATGCAGTGGAATAGGTTTGTGCAAGGGACTGTCCATAACCTCGCACTTCATCTCAGTCTGCCTTGTGAAAAGCAGAGCAATTATTAGCTCTGTCTGGTGCAGCTGAAGAGGAAAGCGCAAAAAGGTTATGCAAGTTGTCCAAGTGCTCATGGTCACTCACTGGCAGAGGAAGGAGCAAACCCTAGGGCTTCCAGCCCTTGGTCTGGTGCTGAGGGTAGTGCTGTTAAATAATGCTTGGCAAACGGTGCTGTCTCGGTTATAAGAAGTTGACAATATGATGGAAAGCAGACTGGAAATAGTGAAATAGATATCAACCATCAATTCCAAGACTAATCACAAGCTTTGCGTGCCATATGTCTACTGCATCAGCTAATAACTTCACTTGTGTCTTCAGGTCTGGAATCAAAATGGCAAGAATCCATCCATCACATTCGAATATACTCTCTTGAGAAAGCCACACTCAAATCTGCAGCCCATTTACTATACCTTTTCTGAGTCAGATAGTGAAGAAAGCAGAGAGTTCGATGGAGACGTGCCATTGGGTTTTATCCAACACAACGCAACTTATTTTGGGAAAATCTCCAGGGAGAGGATAGATTTGGAGAACCAGGTGTTTGGAAGGCAGGACACAGAGGAAGACTTAAACTTGAGCAAAGGTCAGGAAACCAATGAGGTCTACGAAAGAACAGAAACTATTGACTCTGAGCCAAAACTGAAGGACAAACAACCCGAAGGTAAGGAGGAGACTTGGGCCTCACTGCTCTGCTTTCCAGAGCTCTGTTTCTTAAGATTAGAAGTTGGAATTGCTCTGATTCTGCTGGGATTTTTTTCTTTTTCTGGTAGAGGGAGGGGGAAAACCTTGGAAAGTTCTTGAAAGTGTCTCCCCTTCTAGAGCCTCTTTGCCCTTCAGGTCCTGGTTTCTGGTGGGTCTGTTAGTAACATCCTGCAGGGCTCACTCTGCAACCTGCCTTTCTGCCTTGTTCAAGGGGATGAGAGAGCTAGGTGGTCCTGGATGTGCAAAGTTCAGTTCCCCTCAAGCTCTGCTGTTGCCCTGGCATGGTCACCAGCTGCATCCTTCCCATCCCTTGGCAATTGCCTCCCTGCCTGGAGCTTTCCTGATACGATTGCTCTGTGTACGTGGCCTGAGCTCCCGTGGATTGCTCCTCCTTGTCCCCAGCTCCACCTTCAGCTGCCCAGACCTGCCTGCTGCCCTGAGCTGCTTGCACCTCCTGCTCCAAATACATTTCGTCTTGTGGTCATCACTGTTTCCCCTGTTGGCTCCAATCTAGATTCAAACGTAACCAGGTCTACTTACCAGACAGACCATGATGACAGAGACTTTGACCCCAGGTTCAGCTCCAGGGAGTTTCTTTCGGAGAACGCCATCACTGACAAACTGCTGGACAAGAGCTCGGACTCTAAGGAGCTGGTTCTCAACATGACCATGAACAGCATCTTTGCCCAAGGAGACCCGGTCAACTCTGTAGGCTCGCACATTGACAGCCTCTATGTTGACTATGAGGATACTGATGGCGTCGTGACCTATTCCATCAATAGCACCTACATGGAGCTGAGCAATGGCAAGGCCATCAACTCATCAGCGGAGATGCCGTTTTCAAACACCACCGTCACCGTGACCAGCCCCCAAGGAAACAGAACCCACAAAGCAAGGTAGGAAATATGTCTTCATAGTCAATCCAATTTCTTGTTGTTCTTAACTTGCACTCTGCTAAGGGTAGACCCCAGTACATGTTTCCTCTGCTTTGGAGGCCAGAAGGTAAGTAGGGAGAAGATGCCATAAAAGGTTTGCCCCAGGGCTTAATTGGCGAGGAAAGATCAAAGTTGGGAGCAGAATGTTAGAACATTTAAGCAAGAAGAAAGCTCACAGCCTTCATTAGAGGGGACATTCTGGCAGCTGTCAACTTGCTCATTGCTCTCCATATGCTGTAGCGTGTCATCAGAGCCCTGGCCATAAAGAAATCTCTTCCTGGTATTTTTGTTTCCTCTTGCTGTCCTGCACAGACTCCCCCAGGCCCTTCCTCCTAGCTCTCATGCAGCAGAAGTTGCCTTTGGCCAACTTTTACCTACTTTGACCGCCCCCCAGCCAGCCTCATCGCTTGTGTTTAGCAAGACGGGGCCTAAAGCGGCTCCAGGAAGAGCCTTGTTTGCCAAACTACTGCAGGAGAAGCAGAGCAGAAGCATGACGACTGTTGTGTAGGGTCTAATAGCCTGAGTTTACTGCCTTATCTGAGGAACCTCTGCTCTGCTGAGTATCATAATGCAGTTGATGGAGAGATCTTGAAGTGTGTGTTGTACTAGCTGGCTTTGAGCTGGTAAATGCAGCAGGGAGGTGAAAGAAAGTGTAATCTGTGCTGAAATGAATTAATGCTAGGGAGGGCTTGGTAAAAGGGAACCTCTGGATTGTCCCTGTCCGTGCATCTGTCTCATGCCTGGGATGCTCCAGGGCAGCATAAGCAGTGGTACATACCAGGGCTTGGGCAAAGAGCAAGTCTCTTTCTGGCAACGTGGTGGCTCTTCAGCCATGTGTTTCCATCCAAGAGTCTTATTCTGGGTGCTGAAAATGGGTGCTAACTGTCAAATAGCCTGAAACAACCCAAATTTGGCTGGATCTGTGCGAGCAGGCTGTCATCTTCCCCATAAACACATGCAGAAGTCATGCTCCAAGGGGAAGCATCCAACTGTGGATCAGCAGCCCCTGGGGATGCATCCAGCCTCTTGATGGCTGTACTGTGTGTCAGGGTTGGAGATGGCCTCGTGGTTGCCAAAATGCAGCCTTCAACCTGCAGCAGCGCTCTTGGGAGCGCTTGGAGTGAGTTCTTGGTTGGGCTGGGGCTGGGACACTTGCCGTGGACGGGCAATGTGCTGCCCTTGGCATGCAGCCACCCACTGGAGCATTCCCTGGAGGCCTTGTGTTGGAGTGGGAGCACTGGGAGGCCCTGGGCAATCCAGATCCTGGGCACGGCAGTGGGTTGAGCTCCCCATGGAGTGTCCTTTCCGCTTGTTCTGGGCCACGTCTGGCCTTGCAGCACCCAAATCTCTTGCTGTGCTTCTCCTCCTGGCACTTCACTTTGCCCTTCTGTCTTTTGGTTCCCCCCAGTAAAACACACATTATGCTGCTTAACTTTGGAAGACGTAGAAAGCACTGCCCAAACTTTCTGGTTATTGTTAACCTTGTTTTCCAGAACTTACGCGAGCTTGTATTAAACTTGCACTAAAGAAAATGTCCATGCAGCCAAATGCATCAACAGCCTCCTTAATGATAAGAGCGTGAAAACATTGCCAAGGCCTTGAGTCTATCGTGTTCTCCCCTGGCTTGGCTTGGAAACGTCTCCTCTGGCTGCCAAAGCAAGCATTTCGTTAGCACTCGGACGAGCGCGGAGAGCACGGGCTGCTCCGGTGCCTTGTCCCGGGTGGAGCAGGAGCTGGGAATGTGCCAACGGGCTCCTAGCGAGCTCCTCTGCAGCCTTGGCACATGGGGCACCTCTGCTTGTGCTCCCACTGAGCCCCGCTCGCCCTTTTCTCCCTTACTTGGGATATGGGAGCTGTAGAATGTGTAAAACTTGGGATAATCCTAATTTTACAAGAGCAGAGTGGACATAGTTTAAAGAAGAGGACCAGAGCTATCTCTAGTACAGTCACCTCTAGAGCTATAAAGCTCCTTGCTTTATTCCCTAGGGCCTGCCCTATCTTTTTTTTTTTTTCTTTTTTAGAGTTTCAATGAACTTTTAACAAAGGCCCCTGTAAAGATGATGTACCAAGCATTGCAATAATGCAATAATCAATAATGCAATAATGCTTGAAGGACCCTTTAAAGAAGGGTACCAAACGTTGTACTTCCCCGCTTTTCCCCTTCCACCTCTTCCAAACTATTCTCTTATGTCTTCCTCTTACTCTGGAATAAAATGTATGTGTGTTTGATTTAAAAATAAATAAATAAAGTAATTGCTGTTCCCAGGGACTGTGGGAGGAGGGGGAAAGGATGTAATGCCAACAGTGATGAAGGTCTTGCTGGCCCTGGGCCCATCTGCAGGTGCCTCATTCACCTTATCTGCTGGATCCTGCTCCATCATCACTCCTTTTGCCCCTCCACTCTGCCCAAATAATTTCTGTATTAATTTGAGTCCAGATGCCTCTTGCTGCATGCAGCTCTGCTTGCAGCCTGCTGGGCTGTGGGTGATGGCCAAGCTCATGTCAATGAAACCAGGGTTAAAACTCCTGCCTGGCACCCAGAGCAGCAGCGTTGAGGCTCTAGTTGCAGCTTGATGCTCTTTTGGGGTTGGACTGTCACTGCTAGGCAGAAAAGGCTGTGAGGGGGGTATGTCTGGGCTGGGGGGTCTTCAGTCAGCATTTGGGGTTGATTTTTGGCGTGCAGAGATGGGCTGGAGGTGTTTTGTGCCGTTACTTGCCTCAAAAGCAGCAGCAAGAGTGTAGCAGGGAAGAGAGGATTGACTTTGTGGTAAGGATCATAATTAAAAATAATAATAAAATAAAATAATAGCTCCATAATTAAAAATAATAATAATAAAAAAATACTCTCCACCTCTTTTACATTTACTAGAGAGTAAAGTCAGCATTGTCTGCTCAGCAGGTAACTGAACTAAATACTGCCCTGTGACCAAGGGCTGATTTAGCTAGACCTCCCCCCCGCCCTTGCTCTTTCTTGTCCCCCCCTTGTTCTTCCTTGTTCTCCCCTCCTTGTTCTTCCTTGTCCTTCTACAAAGAAGAAGCTCTTTAGATAAGTTGGCACCTGTTAAAGGGGCACTGTTGAAGGGTTGAAGCTGTGACGCAGAGCGTATTTGGGACTTGGGATTGTGTGTGTATATATATAAAAATATAGATATAAAACCAACAGCTGTTGACCATCCTTTACTGGGTCTTGCTGAAGGTTTTGTGAGCCTGTCCAGGCAGAGCAGCCGTGGTTGGAGAAGAGGTTGAGGTAGTATTAGTGGGTGATTCGGGGTATCTATTAAAGCTGTTTCAGCAGGATAAAGCACGGCTTAAGCAAGCCAAGGTGGTTATTTTTGCACAAAAAAAAGGGCCCCGTTCACTTTAGTTCCACCTCGAAGGCAGGCAATGACCATCTCCAGAAAGGACAGAGGCGAAATCTGGCGGCAAAACGCACTTGCTGTCATTGATCCTTGCAGGAGAGCCTGGCTAACAAGGGAAGGTGGGTGGTTTGGAAGGAAAAACTCTAGGATTCTCAGCAGTGTCCTTTTAAAGCTCTATTTGTTAGACCAGACCTGAACTTTTTTTGTTGTTTTCTTTCCTTCTTTTTCTCTTCTCCTTCCTACGGCCACACAAATCAGGCCGTTTCAGAGCTTCTGCTGCCTAGAAATCACACGAGCTGCATATCTTGCCAGGCCAGAGCCCACTGGATGTCAGGAGATGACCTTGGGTGCTATTTGAACCGGTGCAGACACTTGCAGGGTTGGAGCCTCTGGGTGTAAAGGTGCAGTATCCCTGGGCCCAGCCGCTATCCTTGCTTTGACGAGTGCTTGTTGGCGAACATCAGCGCGAACCCGTTGCTCCTCTCCCGCCGGCGTTACGTGCGCGAGCGATTGCAAGTCACGTTGGGGGAAAAAAAAAAAAAAACGAAAAAAAATCAGCAAAACTAGGGAAATTGCGGGATTAGCAAAGCTAATCCCGGGCGGCAGCTTGGTGCAGGGCATATCCTTGGGGTTAAAAAGCAAAGGGTGATCGGAGAAGCAGCCGGCTTGAGCAAGGAGCGAGCCGGGGCGGCGCGAGCAGCCGGAGAGGTTGGAGGGAGTCGGGCTCGGCGCCGGTGTCCCAGGGGAGGAGATACTGCACCTTTAGGCGCTGTGTGCCGAGGGCCAGGTGTATTTGAGCAGGAAAAAAAAAAAAAAAAAAAAAGGAGAAAAAAAACAAAATGCAAACTTTGTTAAATTCTGAACTGTTTCTGCTTGTGGGTATTTTTATCCCATTCTCTCTATTTCTAGACAGTGGAAGCTCTGCCTCTAACCGGGCTGGGGATTCTACTTGGGGCTCAGGACAGGTATGTTGTTAAATAAACCGGCACCGTAAATAAACGAACAAACCCCAAATCAGAAAAAAAAAAAAAAAAATCTAACTGGCAAATGAAGCAAATATTTCCCCCCTTGCACCCAAACCCAACCTCCAGCTGATCCTGTGTGTGTCTGTGTGTGTGTGTCTGCCGGCTGCATCGCGCCTCTCCTGATAAACGCTTTTTATTTTTATTTTTTTATTTTTTTATTTTTTTTTGCTTATCGCTAGAAACAGATTGAAGTTGTTAAGGAAGGGCCAAGGTGTGAGTGCGGCTGACATGTACAGGTGGAAGCTCTCTTCCCACGAGCCCTGCAGCTCCACGTGCACGACAGGTAGCCGCCGACACCGGCCGGTGCGCGGGTCGCGTCCGCGCCACGGGTCGCTCTCACCTGGGCTGCAGTGCGGAGGCTCTGGGGACCTGGGCCACCACGACAGGGAGGTCATTGACAGTGCTGCAGCCCGGTGGGATTTTATTTTTTGCCTTTTTCCCCCCATTTTTTGACCATTATGTTTTTGGAGGCTCGGCTGCTTTCCGGCAGTGTGATGCTTGAAGGCTGTGCAGCTCTAGCAGGAAGCAAAGTAGCATTTTTTTATTATTATTATTATGTTTTTTATATATATATATTTACATATATATATTGATTGTTTTCTGGTTTGTTTCTCCCACTCTTTTCCCTGTGCCAGAGCGTAATCACAGCCACAACGGTGCAAATCTGGCACAGCAACAGAGACTGTCTGCCATACCAAACCTGGCCTCCATTCTTCTGGTGTAAATTTTCCCCCTTTTTGCCACTTCAAAACGCTTCAAGCCACCCGATCTCTATCCTTCGCTGCTTTTTGCAAAGGAGAGGGGTGCAAATCGGTGACATTTTCTGGCTTTTAGCTCTTTTCTGAACAGCCTTTCCCCTTGGCTGGGACAGGCTGCCTTGCCCCAGCTTGCAGCCAGCAGGCCAATATTTTACTTAAACTTCCCCAGTCTCATTACCTTTTCTTGATGACATATTACAGAGAAGCAGTGCAATGTCAAGAACCATAGATCTTTTTTTTTTTCTTTTTTTTTTCTTTTTTTTTTTTTTCTTAAGCTTCATGCAAACCATATGTTCCTGAGAGCTGAAATTCTTGTTACCTGTAGCCAGAAGCAGCCTCTGGTCCCCAGCCAGCTCCCAGATTTGCAAACGCGGGGGGAATGTCTGGGTATGATGCTGCTCAGTCTCCCGTGCTGCTGCGAGGAGGAGGAGGGGAGGTCCCGAGCCGAGCTCGACGCGGGTGCATTTTGGGTTGCAGGCCCGTGGAGACACCGAGTAGACTCGTTTCGGGTTGCAATTTGAGCGTTTTGGTTGCATTTGTGCTCTTTGGGTGGCCCAGGAGGGGCCACCTCAGTCCTCCCTTGTCAAGCTGGGTCTGCTGCTCCCCTTTGCGAGCACGTTTTGGAAAAGGCAGCTCCAAAAAGGAAGCAGGGAGGGGTGGAAAAGGAGCTGCTTTCGGATGTCGGAATCGCCAAGCGTCCTTTGCTGTGTGTGTTCTCTCCGCCCCCAGGCGTGATGTCCACGTATGCCATGTGCGTGCGCTATGACGGCATCGAGGTGGACGATACGTACTGCGATGCCATGACCCGTCCCGAGCCGGTCCATGAGTTCTGTGCGGGGAGAGAGTGCCAGCCCAGGTACACGGCGCTGCCCGGCCCGGCGGGGATCGGCGGGAGGAGCCGGGATGGGGGAAAAAGGCCGGAGCTCCCGCGGCTCCTGCTCCGCGATGTGGCCGGGCGTGCTCCGCTTGCAGCCGTGGGCAGACCAGAGCAGTCTGCTGTGTCGGTGCAGGATGGTTTTCATCCCGATGCAGGTTTTTTTTTATTGAGAAAACCTGATTTGGCTGATGTTCCCATTGGGAGAATGGCTGGATTTCAATCCAGCTCCTATCCAAGTGACTTGGGTGCATTGCTGTGGCTGGCCGCGGGAATCTGCGCAGTTTGAGGCTCACAATAGCAGTTTTGGGCAAGAATGCAGTGTCTGCATGAGGGGAAAAGCCCGGGGTGTTCCCAGGGATCCAGATATTCCCAGGGATGAGCGGAGGGAGAAATCAGCCTGTGAAGTCCATATCCAGCAATGCTCAGTGCTGTTTGGGAGCGAACCTGCGCTCCGAGGGCTGCCGGGGCAAGCGCTTGCTCTCCTCTTGGGAAATTGCGAGGGGCATCTAGATGTGCTGGGGAGGGCAGGGGGTCTTTCTCCACGCTAATGTCTCTGGATCCCGCGTGGGAACAAGTGTGTTCGCGCCGTCCCCCTTGGCTGCCTCCCGTGGGGTCCTGGTCACCGCCGCTGGCACCGGTGAGGGGCTCCTGAGGAGCTGCTCCCTGCAGGGTTCTTGGCTTGGGATGTTGTTTCTCCAGCCCCGTGGCTGGTGCTGGATGATCCTTGGGTTGTCACTGTGGTGAACACGGGTGACGAGGGCTGGGAAGCAAAATTTTGGGGCTGACCCAGCTCTGCAATTCGGGCCTGAAAAGCTGCTACTGGGAACCCACCTGCCCCGTCGGTCCCGTGGGGACCTCTTTCTGGGTTTGCATTAAATTTGTAAGGTTAGTGCAAATGTTAGGGCTCTTTTTGTGCACGTTATCCCACCAGCCTCCTCTAACAGCAGCCGCTTCGCATAGCCAGGCTGGTCTTGCTCTGTGGCTTTAGTGATGGAAAGGAGAAGACAGTCTGGGATAGAGCGATGGTTTTCATTACTTGGGTCAGAATTACTGTGGTGTTTCCTTACCATAAAAATCTAGACTAATATAAAAGCCCCTTTTTGGTCCTTCCCCTGGATGCAGGAGCTTCATCCTACTTGTAAACCAAGGTAATGGTGGCGGGGGACAGGAGGGGACTCCTCATCTTCCCGGGGCTGCCTTTGTCATTGCACTGGCTCCTTTTTCCTGCTGGCAGCCTGATCCTCGGGCTCTGAGAGGGCTGATGCATCCGCTGCCGTCCCGCGCGAAGCCTCTGCAGCGCCGTGCCCCCCGGTGTCCCCGTGCGCGCTGGCCCCGCGGCGCGGGCGCCCGTGCTGCAGCGCCGGCCTCTCTTGCTTCTTCCCGCAGGTGGGAGACGAGCAGCTGGAGCGAGTGTTCCCGCACCTGCGGGGAAGGCTACCAGTTTCGGATTGTCCGATGCTGGAAGATGATCTCTCCTGGTTTTGACAGCTCCGTCTACAGCGATCTCTGCGAATCCGCCGACATTACGCGGCCCGACGAGCGCAAAGTCTGCAAGAATCCCGCCTGCGGGCCCCAGTGGGAGATGTCCGAGTGGTCGGAGGTAAATCCCTGCCCTGTGCGGCCCTGGGACAGCGCTGGGGCGAGCTCACGTGCGCACGTGGCTGGTCCCTTTGGGGTTGGAGACTCCTTTTTGGGGCTGAAGCTTTTGCACGTGGTCCGACGTAAACCAGCTACGTTTTTGTTCCTCCAAAAGACGCCCTGGTTCCCTTCCTTGGGAATGTGGCCGCTGCTACTGCTCCCTGCAGGGCCTTCAGCGCCTGGGAGCACCAGCGAGGTGCAGAATTGCTCTCGGAGGTTGGATAGGGACCAGGACCTGGAATATCCATCGAGCCTTGTCCTTCGCAGGGGCTGAGCTTGTCCCTGGTAGCTTCAGAGCATTGCAAGGAGCGACTAGGAGGACCCACCTCCTATGAGAACTATATTCCCACCAACTTCCCTCCCTCGCCTCCAATTGATTGCACCCCAAGGAGAACTAAACCCCTAAAGAGCAGCTTGCTAAGCGAGCAGCCCGAGCAGTTGAACGAGGGGCTTCAGTGCTGTTTTTGGGGTGATCTAGTTCTTCTCGTCCTTGCTCAGTTTGCTGGGCCCATTTACTCTGCAGGAACATCCAGCTCTGCTGGGAGACTCCCCAAAAATGCCTCATTTGCAACTCAGACATCAGCTCCTTTTTTTAAGGATATTTTGCCGTTCCCAGTGGGATAGAGCCAAGCCCCCTCTGCATGTGACTCAGGGGCTGTTTTGACATCGTGGCGAATCCCCCTTGGATCCCCTCCGCAGCCCGCTGCCAACTTGGCTCTGGAGAGGCGCATTTCAAGTGAAAAGAGCGGGTTTCGGAGCGCTGCCCGTGTGCTGGTGGATGCTGTCTGGGCTTATCCCGGCTTCCCCCGGCCCTGGGGCAGGATTGATCCCCTCCTCTCCTCTGCCTGCTGAAACCGGGCAGCACGGAGGGTGAGGGGCCGATTTGCTGCAGATTGCTTTACAGACAGAGCCATCAATGTGTTTTCATTGCGCGTTTTTAGTTTCACGTTGAAAGCTTTTTTTTTTTTTTTTTTTTTTTTTTTTTTAAGAAAAAGAAACAGCCCCCAATTTGCATCGCACCTTAAACCAGACGAGCCGGCGGCCACCTGGCTGGCGGTGCCGCGTTGGCAGGGCTCGAGATGGGGGTGCAGGGCTTGAGATGGGGGTGCAGGGAGCAGGATGGGGGTGCAGGGCGTGGGATGGGGGTGCAGGGCGTGGGATGGGGGTGCAGGGCGTGGGATGGGGGTGCAGGGCGTGGGATGGGGGTGCAGGGCGTGGGATGGGGGTGCAGGGCTTGAGATAGGGATGCAGGATGGGGGTGCAGAGCGCAGGATGGGGGTGCAGGGCTAGAGATGGGGGGTGCAGGATGAGGGTGCAGGACATGGGATGGGGATGCAGGGTGCAGGATGGGGATGCCGGGTGCAGATTGGGGGTGCAGGGCACAGGATGGGGATGCAGGGTGTGGGATGAGGATGCAGGGCCCAGGATGGGGGTGCAGGACACAGGATGGGGTGCAGGGTGTGAGATGGGGATACAGGACACAGGATGGGGGTGCAGGACGCAGGATGGGGGTGCAGGGTGTGAGATGGGGATGCAGGGCACAGGATGGGGGTCCCCACGTGGCTTCAGCCCATGCGTGTCCCTGGCCCGCAGTGCTCGGCGCGCTGCGGCGAGCGGAGCGTGGTGACGCGGGACATCCGCTGCTCCGAGGAGGAGCGGCTCTGCGACGCCGGCGCGCGCCCGCTGGCCGAGAAGAACTGCACGGGGCCGCCCTGCGACCGCCAATGGACCGTGTCCGACTGGGGCCCGGTGAGCGCCCGCGCCGGGGGCACGCGCCGGGGAATCACGGATTCTTTTTTTTTTTCTTTTTATACATATATTTCATTATTTTATCTGGGAGCAGCTGGAGCTGCAGTACCAAGTCAGGGGCTTTTGTACAAACCCTCTTCTTTGGGCATCAGGGTAGCGGGCAAGGGGTTCTGCTGAGCCTGGCCTGGGTTTGCTGCAGCGCAATGCCCGTCCCAAACACTTCTCTGATTCCTCTCTCTGTTCCTCAAGTTTTCCCATCTTTCCAGCTTCACGTGGCGATGCCTCCACTGCATGTCCCCAAACCCCCTTCCCTCTGCTCCTTCCCTGCACATTCCTGCCACGGAGACCCCGCTTCTCCAGCTATTTTTACCTACGTTTTGATTCATTAGCATTGGCTAAAAATAAGTAATTTCCATGGCAACAGCCGGGCCGGGAAACACGGTGCCTCTTTGCTGAGCGGCCACCAAAGAACCCAGGGTGGCCCTTGCACCTTGCAAGCCAAGGGGCTGCTCCAAGCGGGTTGCTGCATCCTCATCCCAGCTGGGTTTGGAGGGAGGATGGATGCCGGGGGGATTTCTCCCCGCTCAGCGCCCTGCTGCCCCTTGCCCTTGCAGTGCAGCGGCGGCTGCGGGCAGGGCAGGATGATCCGGCACGTGTACTGCAAGACGAGCGACGGGCGCGTGGTGCCGGAGGCGCAGTGCAGCCTGGAGAGCAAGCCCCTCGCCATCCACCCCTGCGGCGACAAGAACTGCCCCCCGGCCTGGCTGGCGCAGGACTGGGAGCGGGTAAGTGGTGTGGATGCAGTGGGATGCTGCAGGATGCAGGGGATGCTGTGGGATGCTGCAAGATTCAGTGGGGTGCTGCAGGATGCAGGGGATGCTGTGGGATGCTGCAAGATGCAGGGGATGCGGCAAGATGCAGGGGATGCTGTGGGATGCTGCAAGATTCAGTAGGATGCTGCAAGATACAGGGATGCTGCAGGATGCTGTGGGATGCTGCAGGATGCTGTGGGATGCTGCAGGATGCTGCATCCCTGCCCCTGGATGCAGCCAGGTTTGGTATGGGCAGGGGATCGAATCTAAGCATCCGTGTTGCCCCCTCCCCAGTGCAACACCACATGCGGCCGCGGCGTCAAGAAGAGGATCGTGCTGTGCCTGGAGATCGTTAATGGGAAGATCAAGACGCGCGGCGCCGCCGACTGCGACGGCAGCAAGAAGCCCGTGGAGGAGAGCACGTGCTTCGAGCGGCCCTGCTTCAAGTGGTACACGACGCCCTGGTCGGAGGTAGGGGGCTGCACAGCGGGGCGGGATGCACAGCGGGGATCTCACGGGATGCTGCTTGGACCAAGCTGCAAATGCAGCCATCCCCCTTGCAGGTGTTTGGGGCTTTTTTTCCGTTCTTTTCCCCCTCCACCTCTCTCTTTTCCTTGCAATCCCATGCATGGAATGCCATGCATGGAATTGCATGGAATCAGGGAGCTCAGCCCTCACCCCTGTGCCCCGCTGCAGTGCACCAAGACGTGCGGCCTCGGCGTGCGCATGCGGGACGTCAAGTGCTACCAGGGCCAGGACATCGTGCGGGGCTGCGACCCGCTCGTGAAGCCGGTCGGCAAGCAGACCTGCGACCTGCAGCCCTGCCCCACCGAGCCCCCAGGTGAGCAGAGCAGCCCGGATCCCCTTGCCCCACTCCTGCAAATGCACCCGCCTCCATACGGGAGAGGGGAGCAGCTCTCCTGCCCCATCCGTGTCCCCACGCAGGGGTATTTTAGCAGGCAAACGTATTAAATTGTGAGGAGACACCCCAAGCAGCAGGCTCTGACCTTAGGGCAATGCTGAGCAGTATCAGTGCCCGTCGGCACGAGATCCAGCTCATGTTGAGGGCGTTTCTTCCCATGCTGTTATTTTAATGATTTTTGGTCTCCAGAGCATCCCGTGGGATTTGTAGCTATCTCGTTATCTCCCTGGGCTGCTGCTGGCGCAAAGCCCCTCTGATCTTTAGTGAACATGAGGTCCTAATTCTTTAATAGGATCAGGGAAGAAGGAGGAGGGAGAAGAGCCCAGCAGCAGGAGATGATCCGTGCAGGGATGCTTGCGAGGTGCTGCCTTCGGAGCAGCCTGGTTTGGGGCATCCTACGGGTTTGGGGCAAAAAAAAAGAATAAAAAAAGCTTAAATCGTCTGCTTTTATGCAAAAGATGGCTTAAAAGGCAGTAGCCTGCAGGTGTTATGCAGCTGGGATGTGGTCGTGGTCGCCCCGCATGCCCTGGGGGACATCACTGCTGTAAGGGTGAAGTGGGTGCCCCCTGCTCGTGCGAACAGCGCACGGTAGGAAAGAGGAAAAAGAAACAAAGAGGGAAAGGAGTGAGCGAGGAAAGGGAAAAAGGCATTAAAAAACTTGCAACTTTTGGATTTTTTTTCTTTGTTTTCATGTCATTTGTCTTTCCTTCCTGTCTCTTCCCTAGACGACAGCTGCCAGGACCAGGCGGGGACCAACTGCGCCCTGGCCATCAAGGTGAACCTGTGCAGCCACTGGTACTACAGCAAAGCCTGCTGCCGCTCCTGCCGCGCGCCCCACTCCTAGGGCCCCCCCGGCCTTTTTTTTTAAAAAAAAACAGAATGAAAAAACCTTTATTTTTTTTTCCACCATTGCAAAACGCCCTTCTCATTCCTCTCCCAAGACTCCCATGTTGCAGCCCCCGTGCTTGGAGCTGCACATGGACCTGGGTGTATTTGATCCATCCCAAGCAGCACCCCCAGGGCCTGTGACACAAAAGCACCCACTTATTTCCTTTGCAAAGGAGCCGAGCACCCGTTTTCTAACTTATCCCCCCAGACCTATTTTTAGCTGCATTTAATGTGGTGGGAAGCTGACTTTTCATTTGCTAAATGAACTCGAGCCCAAGCCCTCCTCCTCGCCCCTTTTCTTTTTTGTAATATGTAGGTGTATACTTTTTCAGAAGATTTTTATCTTATAATCCAATGTTAGTTCCATAGTTCTTCCAAAGGAAAAAAAAAAAAAGGAAAAAAACCCCAACACCCCCATAATGCTGACATATTGTATATAATAATATGGAAACATAACTGCACTTTATATCACAAAAAGAAGACGTGCTCTTTTTTAATATATTTGTTTACAGACAGTGAACTTTATCCGTATAATCATTAATTTGTACTCATATGTATATTTTAATAAAGTTGTCATATTTATGGTGGTATAAGAGGCGTTAGGTGTTCCCGTGGGTGCCCGTGGCAAAGAATTACTGGGGTTCCCAGGACTCACCTGCACCGAGGTGTAATGTTGGCAAAGGAGCCCATGTCTATCCAGACGTGCGTACAAAAAGGTCAGCCTCAAACCCCACAACGGAGTAGTTTATTTTGGATTTTTTTTTTTGATTTTTTTGCTTTTTTTTTTTTTTAAACATTTTCTCGGTGATGCCAGGAGTCCTGTACAACATTTCGCCAGGGGACAGCGCAACAGTCACTTGGTTGCTTAGGTTCCAAGCTACACTGGAAAGGGCAGGGGAGGAGGAAAAATAACGCTAGGATGAGGGAGAGGAGGGATGAGGACGGCCACGAGGAAGGCAAAGTCGAGACGCGTTTAACCAACGGCAGTAAGAACTGTACAAAGCAAACCCGGCCCCTTCAACACATAAGAAACCAAGCCCAGAACCACCCCCAAAATGCCCTCCCTAACCCCCGCGCTTTGTACAAGATCCTCGTTTGCAAAGGTGGACCGGGATGCCGAAAGGGTCCCCCTGGGATTAAAAGCCTCCGAGGTCCTAGGTGAAAGAGCTGGGTGGCTGCAGCCGGGGTTTATCACCCTGGGTGCCCCAAATGCTGTTTTTTTTTTCCCTTCTCCTCCCATCCTTAAATGTAACATGTGAAGAATGTCAGGTCAGAGCCTTTTATCTCAGGTGAGAGGCAGGATGCGGAGGTGATGGGCTGAGACTGACCTGGGTGGGATGGAGACAGCGGGAAGGAAACCCGCAATGCTGGAGCCTGGGACATGCTGGGCTGATGCAGGACAGAAATCCCCCAAAAAGCTCTTACTGCCCCATTTCACACCTAGGAATTGGCTGCTCTCAGCCGCAGCTTTGCTTAAATCTAACCCGTATTCCCAGGGAGGAGAAAGTGGCTTTTTATAACGCCCATGGGAAGGTGCCTGCGTGGGTGCACCCGTGCACCCTCCCCGTCTCCCAGCACGCTGCTCCCTGCATGAGAAATGCTGCTCCTTGCCCGGGGGAGGCTCTGGGGGTGTTTTTCCCGCTCTCCGCAGCTTTCCCTCCTTCCCTAGGAGCCCGTTTGAGCATTGGCGCCGCTGTCCCCGCGTTGCCCATCGCAGCCCGTCTCTCCGCTGAGCCCCAGGGAACCCCGGCGGAGCAACGGGGACGCTGTTTACAAAAGTCTGCCCGATATCAAAAAGCTCTTTATAAAAACAAGCAAAGGAAAAAACCCCATTGCAACAGGCAGCCTAGAAAAACCCCGCGGCCCCATTGCACCCAACTCGCCCTCACACCAGTTTCCCTGCCCACCCTTTAGCAATCCGGCGTATTGCAGAAATACATTCCTCCGGCTTGCTGATTTTTTTTTGCTTTTTTTTTTTTTTTCACATTTTCCTTGCGGTTTTCCCCGCCGGGGCGCGCGCTCACACGTCGGTGCTGATGCTGCGGCTGCGGGAGAACGCCTCGCGCATGGCCGAGAGGCGGTTGGGGTTGAGAGCCTGCAGCCCCGGCGCTGCCGGCACCGGCAGCCCGTCCTCGCTGCCGTAGCTCACGCGCTCGCCGCCGTTGGGCAGCTCCTCCTCATCCTCCTCTTCGTCGTCAGGCTCCTGCAGGAAGAAGGTGGGCGGCTCGAAGGGCGCGCAGCCCGGGCACGGCGCCGGCGCCGCGCCGAACGCCGCCGGCCCCAGCAGCGCCGGCCCGTTGCTCAGCACCACGTTGCGGTTGCAGTGCAGCGGCGGCACGTGGGAGTGCACGGCGAAGTCGGGCTCCTCCTCGTCCTCCTCGGACTCATCCTTCTTGCAGCAGTAGTACTGGAACGGGAGGCAGCGCTCAGACTTGCAAGACATGTATATTTTTATATACCTATACATATATCTATATATCTCCATGCAGGAGGGCTCTGTGTGTGCATGTTTATATATATAAATATATATATATATATGCAAAAACTATACACACACATATTTCTACATATACATGTATTTTGGGGTTGCATTGCATGGTGCCCCAGCTTGGAGCTGGAAGGCACGTTGCTCCAGCCCCTTTTTGGGCTTGCTCCCCTTGGTGCAAAGGACATTGCACCACATTGCAATGCCCCAGCAGCACGGTGGGGACACGGAGCCACCCGCTCCTCTGTGGTTTTAACCCATGAGGGGCTGCTCTCTGCACCCAGGAGCCCACGACGGCCCTCCCGGGGGATGTGCGAGAGCGTGGGGGTGCAAGCCCTTACCTGGAGCCTGCAGTAGCAGAGGACAGCGATAATGCAGAGTAAAATAACAGTCGCTAATATTCCACCTGTGATGACCACGGTCCCGGCTGTCATCCGCCCGCCTCTCCATTAACAGCCTGCAAAAGAGAGCGCGGCAGGAGGTGACGAGCCCAGTCCTGCGTCCCTCCTCATCCCTGCTTTATTTTTATATATATTTATATTTTATATATATATAAAAAATATATATAATATATATATATACTTATATATATAAAAGCACACATTAGATTTTATAAAAATACATATAAATTAATATATATATGCATATAAATTAATATATATGCATATATATTCTATGCATTCAGTGTAGATAATTAATTGCAATGTTGATGCATTTGTTACACTTAGATATGTTTGCTGTGATGAAGAGGCAGACTTATGCATCCCAACCTGGATGATGGTGGCAAGAGCTCCACGTAGCAGCAGGAAGAGCCTTTCCCTATTTTCCGTGTCTTTCCACAAAACCAGCCCACCACTCACCATATCACATTAAAACAGAAAAAAAAAAAATTAAAAAGCCGCCACCCCAACCCCAAATTGCTGCAGCACCAGAGGAAAAGCAGCCGTATCTGTCAGGGATTTAGGCAGCTTCCAAAGAAAATAAATCTATGGCATATTTTCAGGCGCTTAATGTCCTGCTAAAGTTGGGTAAGTGCTGAATGGATAAAGCAGTATCACATTTTATGCGGCTGCTGAGCGCAGCGGCGGGAGCCAGCGTGATTTATCGCCAGTCCCGCTCGCCTCCGCCGGCAAAACCCCCCAAGGATGAGGGGGAAAAGAGCTCGGAAAACGCTTGCAAGGAAAGTGCATGGGGGAGTTAGGTGCAATGACTTTTCCGAAGAGATTTGCTGTGCTCCCAGGCGGTGCCGGCTGCACTTGGCCCAATGTCCCATCGCTGGGGCCAGAGTGAGACCCCTTGCATTTCACTCGTCCCCCCAACCCCTAACATACTTGTCTTATTAAAACCCAGTACCTGGAAGCACTGAACTCTCCAGCATGCAGGGGCGGGAGGGGGGTGCAGAGCCCGCAAGCAGAACAATTCCTGTCTAGACCTCTTTTTTTTTTTTTTTTTTCTTTTTTACATTTGTTCCTAATTTCACGCTCCGCAGGCTCCCGGATTCATATATTCGGTCATAAATATCTGGGAAGGAGGAAGCGCTTTGCAGCTCCGCTGTGGTCTGGGGGGAAGCAAGCAGCAGCGGTGGGGGGAGGCAGCACCCCGGCGGGGACACCGGGATACCCGGAACCCTCTACCCCTTCCCAATCCATCCCATCCTGCTCCCATCCATGTGGAGCACCTTGGACTGCAAGGCAATTGCATCCCGGGATTGCACCTAGGCCCGGCCCTGCTCACCATGCTGCTTGCGGTTCGGTGGTGCCAGGTTGCTTTTTTGGGGGTTTTCTCGCTATAAAATGAGCATTCCCAGGCCCTCCAAACCGGTCGATGGGGAGCATGGGGACATGGTGTGACCCTCTCTCCCAGCTCGGGGACACGCGCTGTCACTTGCCAAGATCACAGCGGCTCCTGGGACACTGCGCCAGGCACAGGAGCACTTGGATGCAACCAATTCCTGCCTTCCAACCGCAGGAGAGTCCCGCAGGCCCTGGGCAGGAGGCTTTTCCCATTCGCAGCCTCCGCAGGCGCCCACGGAGCTCCCTGCAACTCCAGCTCTGTCCTCCGGAGTCACCCTGGGCATCCGGACACGGTGCCGGGGTCCTCTGCAGGACTCGGGCTCTGGGGTTGTGCTGTCCGAGTGCCTCTCACACCCCCAGGGCATTCCCAGCATCCTGGAATCCAGCCCACAACCCATAAATCGCTCTGCTCCTCGGCCTCGCCGCAGTGGCTGAGCACAGGAGCCCCCCGAGGAGGTGTCTCCCACCCAAGCGTGGCCAGCGGGAAGCTTCCCGCCGCAACAGAAAGCAGGACACTGTGGAATTGCACCGAAAACGCCGGAGGGAGAAGCGGGAGGAGAGAAAGGAGCCCAACCAGCAGCTCCAAGGACCCCCCGGCCGGCGCAGCGAGCCCTGGGCTGCTCACAGCTCAGTTTCGTTCCTGGGAGCCGAGCAGGGCTCTCCTAGGAAGAGGCTGGAGCTGTTGTGCAAGCAGAGCTGCTTGGAGGACGGCTTCCAAGCACGCGAGGTGGCCGCGGTCAAGAGCATGGCAAGGGCTCCAGCCAAGTCTCCGCGGCCAAGCAGGGCCACAGACGCTGGTGCTGGAGGCTCCTGCGATCCGGCCGGACCATCCCAGCAACTGTGGGAGCAGGGAACATGTGGAGATTGCTGCAGGAGCACCAAAATGTGCAAAACTGGGGATATGTCGGGGTAAGAACAACCTCCAGAGCTCCTCTCTGGAGACCGGGGTCTCCAGACATCCTATCCATCCCATCCCATTGCATCTCATGCCGTTGCATCCCACCCCACCCTTGAGCCCAGGACAAAGGTCTCGCCCCTGAGATCTTTGGCACTCGCCACTGTCCTCACAAGCCCCAGACACAAGGTTTCCAAGCGGAGTTCATCACCCAGCACCCAAAACCGTCCCCTGACCTGCGCGCTGGGGAAGCAGTGAATAAGCTAGCAGCCCAAACGGCGTTTGGTGGCAAGTGCAGCCTGATTCCTGCGTTTCCCCCGGTTCCTGTAATCCTACCCAGTCAATGAATCAGAGCGGGGCTGCTAGGAAGAGCCGGGCAAGGTGCCAGCCGGAGACTCTGCGTCTGTGGAGCCAGCGGCCAGGGCGGCTGCCAGAAGCACAGGCGGAGAACGTGGCTTTCCATAGGAAGAGCACTCGAAGCGGGCGGCCTGCATCGCTTCGCTTCTCTTCCTCGCTCCTCCTCGTGACGGCAGCGGCTCTGGCCCCGGGGCTGATGATGCTCTGCGTAAACAGCAGGGATTCGAAGAGCCGGGATGTGGCCGTGTCTCAGTGTGGGGCTTCCCTGTATCTCCCGTATCCTCATTTCCTATTTTATGAGCATCTTCTCCAGCCTTAGCACATCAGTCTTGGCTGCCGGGAGCCTCCAGGCTCTGTCCTGTGGGATGCATAGGAGCACGGGGCTCTCCCTACCCTGCCCATTGGGGTTTGATGCCTGGATAAGGATACCTGGGATAAGAAGGGGTTTGGGAAGCGACTCTCGGGCAGCACGGGAAGAGCTCGGCTGCACGCACAGGCTGCAGCCCTGCCCGGCCTTTGGGGTGACAAATCAGCTAACACGAATCAGAACACGATCCTGGCCCGCTCCGCGCTCCTGCTCCTACGGATGCCTCTCTCCCAGCCCGAGATAACCCCTGAGGTTATCCTCCACATCCCGGTGCTTTGCAGCCAGGAGCAGCCCTGGATGGTCAGGATGGGAACGTTGCAGCAAGTCTGCTCCCTCTGGGGGTCCTTCTTATAATTTGGCATCAGTTTATAGCCCAAATGCATCACTTCCCTAAATGCTGCGAGGCAGCCCGGGGACTCATAGGAAAGCTGGTGTTTTGCTGCCACATCCTATATGGCTTTTCCATAGGCTGCCAGCATGCCGTATACATTCCCTGCAGGTGTCACTGTTAGCAACGGAGCCGCCGGAGCCGCCGGATGATGCTCTGCTGGTGAGCGGCTCATCAGGAAGGAAATCCAGGAGCACAGGCCCCGGCTTTCCCGGGATTCAGCACAGAGCAGCAGCCGCTTGGAACCCGGGGCTTTCCCCATGCACAGCTTACAAGAATCACAGAGACGCTTAATAAAAAGCAGGAATCTCCGGCACAATTAGGGATCCTGCCTGCCCTCCTCCACAAATGATCTCTATTGTTTTTTTAAATTGGAAATTGGCTCTTCCCGAGCTTTTGATTTTCCAGCGTGCTTAAGCAGGCAGCCTTCAAAGCGGATCGATCCCGGGGATTCCTCGCGCCGGCACATTGCAGGAGGGAATACGTGCGCCGCTGTAATGAGGCAATAATATCCTCCAATACGACTAAATCACGCCTAATGAAAAATAATATTTGCACAGCTCATCAAAGCGGCTTGGAGACTTGCTAAGCACAACTCCAGGCATGAATTTAAATGTCTGCAGATGCTAAAGGGAGTGCAAGGGCGAGGGGAGAGCAAGCGCCGAGCCCTGGAATGAGACTCGGGAACCTGCCCCTTCCCGGGATTTGGGGACCCGCTGGCTCTGCCCAGTGCAAAGCAGGCTGCAGGCGCTTGCACTGCCTGGAGCAGAGTGGGCTGGAATAACCCTGCTCTTCCCTTTTGTCCTGCTGTGAAAATGTGCATTTACATTCCCCGGAGACGAGGGAGGTGCTCGGTGCCGGTGCGTGGCCGAACTGGCTCCGCTGAACAGCAGCAGCAGCAGGAGCTGCTCCGGTCCCCAGCGCGCTTGGATTTCATCCAACACAGTGGAGTTTTACCTGCTCTGGTCCCACCTTTCACCATCCCACCGCTCACATGCTGCTTTAACACCAGGAATCATTCCCATGCATCAGCTGGAGAGCAGTCGGGAACCCAAACTGCGCGCACACAGCCCAAACTTCAAAAAAAGCAAGGCAAAATAGAGGCTTGTCTTCATAAATGGCATCATTTAATTGCGTCCTGATTGAGGCGCAGTCGGCCTGAGATATTTAGCATCAGGGCGACCAGTTCTTGGCATTGCCAGCTTGCAATAAGCTATTGCAATCACTGCTACGGAGGAAAGATCTCAACCACCAAAGACACTTCCCTGGACGGGGCTGTTTTGAGCCTCTGCACTGAACCTCAGCTCACCCGAACTGCTGCTATTAGTTTACTAAGAGCAAGAGTCTCAGTCCTGGCCTGTGCTTTTAGCTTCTGCCTCAGGCCACAGCAAAGCCCTGCAGCGCGATGGACAGCAAAGCGCAGCCTAAAGGCTGGTGTAAACTCCGCTCTCGTGCAATATCTCAGCCCAAGCGCAAGGAAGGACACGTGCAGTGCACCTTCCCACCGAACAGGAAAATCCAGCCGGCTTTGCACTTCCAAGAGGTGACAAGTCAGCTCAGCAGGGAAGGAAGATTTTGGGCAGGTTAAAGTATTTGTGAACTGCACTGTTCTTCCTCATTTGCTTGCATGCAGCAGGCCCCAGACAACTTGAGATGG